TGACCTGTCTCATCCTAGCTTGGAGCTTTCTTCATGTACCTATTCACGTTTATGTTTGAGGCATGTGCATACATGGCATGTCCAGGGCCAATTGGGGCTAAATGGGATGTTTAATGAGTTCAGTGTCAACCAGAGCTTTTTATAGAATGCTCAGAGTTTGTTTTGGCCATTTGGCCGTGGATATAGTCATATATCAAACTTTGACATCGGGGAAAAAATTATGGAATTCTTATTGAAAGCTTGGAAGTTTGAAGTGAAACTTCACGAAACACTAAATCAGACATCGATATATCATTTGAATTGTCATACAAAAAAATAAATTCTTAATAAATTTATATGCACGGTAACTCTGGTAGTCTAGTACGAACTATGCAATCACAACAGATATATCATATAGCTAGTTTAAAACTGAAAGCCTACTATTGCCAAAGTGAGGTCTTTGAAAGTACAAAATCTTAGATGTATAAAAGAGAATCTCATCTTTGACCATGCAATATTGATACCAAAATCCGGATAATGGGTTGTAAAGATATTGAAATGAGACATAATTAAGTTACATTTTCATTTTCCACGCATTTACTATGTGCGATCATCAATTCATTTTACTCTAGCTTGTATTAATCTATAACCGGCTACATTCAGCTCCAGCATTTACCAGGTCACATTTAAAACAAACAAAAAAATCAAACTACGGAACTGCTAGGAACACAATACTCACCAGGCGATGCCATGAATCCAGATTAGATCTGCAAAAACAGAAAAGAGAATAAAACGATCGAGCTGGTCAGCATTTGACACATTGCGAAAAGATATCTATAATTTATGTCGGTGATAGGGAGAAGAACTGGTAGAGAGAAGTGATGTAATCTACCATGAAAGTGGCGAAATCCGTCAGCAGCAGTTTATTACGGCCTGTTTGAAGTGTTGGGAGGTGTTAGTAACGGAAGTGTTAGTAAGTGTTAGCAGGGGCCCGGAAGGGAAGAGAAGTGTAAGTGTTACACATAATCTTACCTTGTTTGGGAGAGTTAAAAAAAATGAAGTGTTAGTAATGGAAGTGTTTCCACTCAAATTGACAAAAATATCCTCATACGCTATTTAATGTTTACTACTCCGTATAAAATACTTGATGCTATTAATAATTGTAGGTGTTGCTCCACATTGACTTGAAATAATATTTTACGTAAAATGCTAAAAGTAAAATTAAAATGCTAAAAAATATTCTACATATAAATATTTTACGTATTAAAATTAAAGTGCTAAAAAATTAAATTACATTGCTAAAATTAAAATATTCTACGTATGGTATACATACATATTCTAAGTGCTAAAAAAATTATGGATCGACACTACACACAAACACTACATACACTTATTTTATGTATTGAGATACATTTATATATATAAAGGTTATTTCAATCAAAAGAAAAAAGAAATCAAGTTAAACTCAAGAATAGAAATATGGAACAATAATTAAAATATCAAAACCATAATAGATGAAAAATCAAAGAAGCCCCTTAAACATCTGGAACTTGCAGGTCGGTTATCTTCTCAATTTTGCAACATGCAACTTTAAATATTTTAATTTTACATCAAATAATTAAAATTGGGATGTAAAAAGTCAACAATTGAGCGGCAGATCTAGTTTCATTAGGAAGCATAAACTACACAAATCCAGACGAAGGAGAACAAGAACATAGGTGAAGAAGTGGAACCGGCTCTCTCTGAAGAAGAATGGGAGGAACGTGGCTGTCTGCTGCAGAAGAAGAATAGGTAGGAACGTTGGTATAACAAGGGCAAAGGTTGTCCAACCCTTCATTACACTCCAATTTGGAGTGTTATAAAAGTGGCAAATAGAGGTGTTAGGAAGGTTATAATTAACACCCGTTAACACTTATTAACACTTCTACAAAAATTTGATTTTTCTCCCAAACAGGTGTTAAAGTAAACACTCCTTAACACTTCCATTACTAACAGCCGCTAACCCTCAATCCAAACAGGCCATTAGGAGCATCGGAGGGAGATGTATGAAATGCTATTTCCCTCAACCGGAGACCAGCTAACTAACATATGCTAGAACTTCCTATTCTCCGCGCACCTCCTTGCTTGCTGCTTGGCGGGAACGGTGGCTACGCTGCTTCCGCATACATTTCTTACCTTTTTTTATTTCTTTTGTGCATTTTTCTTACTCTTTTTTACTTTTCCTAACCCCTTATCTAAAAAAGAAACCAATTCATTTTAAATTAATTTAGGGAAATTTGACTTTGCACTCAAATTTCTAGGTGATATTGGATTTTGTATCCTATTTTTAAAAAAAATGATTTTGCACCTAATTTCATATAAAAATCCTTGAACTTTGTTTTTCATTCAGAAATTTTTCTTCACAAAATATTATATGATTGGATGAAAAGTCAAAGTTTTTTCAAAATATGGTGCAAACTGCAAAGTCTAATATCTTCAAAAAGTGAGGTGCAAAGTCAAATTCACTGTTAATTTATTTGTTTATATCGAGGGTCAGAGACTATTCGGTCCGTAAAAGATTATTTCATATATAATATTTTTGACCTTATTACAGAACACGTCATATGAAGAAGTCATGCTCAATAATCTATACTCAAAATTTTCATTTAATGCTGGGATTTTCCCTAAAATATCATAAAATTTATGTCCATTTTCAAAAAAATGACTACTTTTATACATGGACGAAAATTGGACTAACAACATAATAAATTTGAAAATCGAGATGTCATTGTCAGTTTTTTATGTCAGTGTCATATTTCTATGGCACTGTGAGATTTTTATATTACAGAACTTCCCGATGGCTTTTTTTGCAACCCGTGGTGGCGTTTCGATAACGACCACCACAGGTGTTGTCAGATGAGGCCTTTGAGGCGAGGTAGGGGTGAATAGTTGAATAAGAATTAAAATTAAAAGAAAATATATAATTTAAATAAAGATTAATCACATTTTGAATAAATGAAAATTAGTCCTATTTTTATTCTAAAAGTGTAGAGGTGATATTTTTATCATTCTTCCTTAATGCTCACTCCAAATAGAAGTTTTTGACGCTTCAAGTCCAATGTCTACAAATTAATTGCTACTAGTAATAATTTTTTGGAAAAATTGAAAACAATAATCCTAACTATTGTCGGTCCGCTGACAATAATCCCAAATATTGATTATTTTTGTATAATCCCAACTATATGGACCGTCCGCCAATAATGGTCCATGGCAACATATTAACTCCTATAATAAGTGAATTTTAAATAGAAATTAAGTGTAAAAATTAAATGTTAGGATTATTTATAGGGATTACTTGCTATATCTCTTCTCATCCACTTCAGAAACTACATGAATTTATTTATAGGGACCATTATTAGCGGAAGGTCCTTAAAGTTGGGATTATTCTGAAATAATCGATAGTTGGGATCATTATTAGCGGACTGCCAATAGTTGTGATTATTACTGTAAATTTTTCCTAATTTTTTTATTAGCAGTAAAAAATACTCGTGAATATTAGAAACTTGGGTAGTATAGACTAGAGAGAAGTTAGAGTAGATTTAGAGTGAAAAAGTTGTGTAATAAATTTAGCAGAATAACAGAATAAGAATGTCGGTTCCTTTCGCAAAGGGGAAGAATTGCTATTTATATGCAAGATACAAAGTCTCGATCTTAAATATAAAAAAAAAGTCTCGATCTTAAGCCAAAATTGCTAAGCTAGTGAGGGAGCTATATGTGTTTTAGATACTTGGGGAACACACTTGTTGATATCACTAATGGTGTCGACCCTTTCCATATATGGGCACGTAACGTCTGAGAAATGACTAAGTTTGAAACCGTACTCGAACCGAGGCAAGCCCGCTCTGCCTCATCCGGTAATATTAGTGCATGATCCACGATGGCAGACATCAAGCTCAACCTTGATGGAGTAGCTCGGTTTATAGCATAATGGGTCTGCCAATGCGGAGCTAGGCTTATGGCGAGATACGCATTCTTGTTTGGACCCCTATGATATATAACAATGTACTCCACCAATTACACTTTTAGCAAAATACGATTTTCGGTCTAATGAGATGAAAACTCATTTATTAAAAGGGATTTATCTTAAGTATTACTACGTACTATATTGAAGTTAAATGCTAAAAAAAGTGACTACATTTATATATGGATAAAAATGTGATAATAAAGTAAGAATTTGGAAAGTCATATTGTCACTATTAGTTCAATATGTCATTGCCAACTTTTCTAATGCCAAATTGCCAATGTCACATTATTATGTCACTGCAGACATTGCTATTGATTACCAATATCACCACTGCGGCCACCAATGTCGTTACCGTTGTCGGCTTCCCTGTCACCGTCGAATATGTCACTGTGACTGTCGAAAAAAATCCAATTCCAACGCCTATTACCTGCAAAAGTTAAAAAACTAAAAAATATTTCATGTGAATCCTCCCACAACTTTTCAAGAGTTGGGGTTTGCGGCTGCCGCCGTCGGCAATTGTTGCCGAAGGCAGCACTAGACCTGGGGTGGGGTGGGCAGGGTAGGTAGTTGGGTTCAAATTAGATTTATTTTTGTATGAGAATTCGACTAGCTTTGACTATATGTTATTTATAAATGCATGTATGATGGTTTATTTTTGAAAAATCTTCCATTCATAGCAAATTAAATATATTAATGATCAACATTGTGCGTTGAAAACGTGAAAATGGAAATGTTACAACTAAAATAAAACAGATGAATTTTTTGCCCATCCATGCTCATTCCTCCACCGCCAGAATGATTTTTCTAATTTCGGAAAAACACCACAATAAGTGTTTTTGAAAAATTTATCAATAGTGACACTGGCACTAATTGGTGATGACATACTCCCTCCCCCAACTCACAATCTTCACCTAACTTTTTTAGTCGTTCAAAAAACTTTTCAGATTGCATTTAAAATAATAAACATGTGATTCTGCATAAATCTCAACCACACGGTTTTTACATTATTATTCCACATGCAAGTCATTTGTTTTACGGACGAAGGAAGTAACTAACACTGGCATTCACAACTTTCGAATTATATTTCTTTGGTAGTCAGTTTTTTGTCCATGCTTTTTTGGAATTGGACTTCAACATAACAGGAGTAATATTTCATGAAAACACTCCATACTATTTATGCAGTGCGTATAAAAATACAGTACACGGCAGTCATTTACAGGTTACAACAACAAAAATTACTATGTGCGTCTCTTAGCCATGCCAAGGACAGACTGGTCTTACTTTAGGCAGCGTTACCATACGTGTAATTTCAACTCTGTATTTAGTGCCACCTTAATCGTTTGATTCGATGCCAAGAGAGGTCTTCAACTCCCTGACAATGTGAGGTAATGTCTTTGAGAAGTGTTGAACCGACACCTCCAAACATGATTCCATGACCTTCAAGGCATCATCTTCCTTATGTTCTGCACCTAGAAATTTTTCTTGGCAAACCATCAACGCCATTCTCATGTTTTCCTGTACACAAAAACAGTACCTAAATTATAAGCCAGAGCATTTAAAATAGAGCTTCAGAACTCCAGCAGATATATCCAACAGGCTAATAGCGAATCGCTGATGAATAAGATGTATATCAGTGTAGATATAAGCAAGGCCATTTGGTAACCATATTACTCTTTCCGTCCCACAAAACTTGATCACCTTTCCTGATTTTGATGTCCCAAAATATTTCATTTCCTTTTAAAAGTAACAACTTTGTGCTTAATGCTATTTCTAGTATTTCACTTCGGCCAACTCTTATGGGACAGATAGATACAAGTTCGTGAAGTTTTTTATCAGAAATTCAAACGCCTCATTCTTTTAGTTTTATTCACAAAAATCATTCCTTTCTGTCAAAAAACATATCCAAAAAACATAGAAATGTGTAGTTTTAAAAATATATTTAGTTGTGAAAACATTAAGATGATTTTTCTAAACAAATGAGTAAGGTTTTATTAGTGTGTAACAAAACTTGATGACAGAGCTAAATAGCTAATAATACTGAGTACGGACTCCTTTTAGACTGGAACAGTAACTAGATTGACAGATAGAATACAGAAAATGGAGTCAAAACTTGAGTTTATTGACTCCATTGGGTTGAAGATGGTCTAGGAACTAGACATAGCAAAATGGCTGGATAGAACTATTTCCTATTGGACGCCCAAACATAGAAAATCATGATCACAAAATTGAACACTGCACACAGGAAACTTAATCTGATAGAAAAATTAGAACCAGGATCTTGCACTCTAGTAGAAAATGGATCATCGACCAGTAGCACTAGGATCATGTGAACTAGTTTGGATGGAGCATCATTTTGTGTTTCTACCTCTCATCTATTTTAATGACTTAAATACGAAGTACATTTTTAGTCCATGAAAATATGCCACGTTTTTTAGATCATTGCAACATATTTTTTTTTGTTTTTCATCACTGTAATATGCACTATTTTGTTTTTAGTCCATCTCTAATTCCAAGACCACTCCATTTATTTAGAAATAAATAAATGGAGTGGACTAAAAAGTACGGAGTATATTTTAACGACCTTCTAAAAAAATTACATAGTTTTGAATGACATGAAAAACAATGGGTGAGAACATTTAAGGAAGGTAAAAAAAGAAAAGCAAGGTAAAATGCGCCAAAATTTGATTTTCCAAGGACGTAAAACAAAATGCACATTTAAGCTTAATGTGAACTAAAAACCAATATAGACAGACATAATTTAACTGATAATATAGTTATATCTAGACTAAACTAATAGATAAAGACAAATTAGTAAAACAAAACCCAATCCTTCCTGTACAATACAAAATTCCTGAACCAAACAAGTTTTAAGTGTCAAATGAGCTTTATCTCGTCATGATTGGAGGCAAACTACGGTGAATGAAATGGAGGCTCTTCATTCCTGTGGACGCGGTTTATTCCTTTACCTCATCGTGAAAAATTGTTGGTTAGAGTCTAAGTTAGAGGTGGCTAGAGAATGTTAATGTTGGCCCAAACGTGTAGGTAGGTAAGCTCTTTAAAGCTCGACTCATTTCCAACTGAGCATCCACAGTTTTTGGCATCAACTACACCTAGGGGCGGAGCCAAGGGGGGGTCAGGGTGGTCATCCGACCTCGCTGAAAGTTTGAGAGTATAGAGCTCTGAAATATCTTCGATTTGATATATTATAGCTCCCGTAACTCATTACGAGTAAAAAGTTATGACTTTTGGAAAATCAGCACTATCTTAACGTAAAATCGGCAAAATTTGATACATACTACCTCCGGTTTTTTTTAATCTTCACAGTTTGACTTCACACAAAATAAGGAAAGAAATTTGACTTTACTGTAGAGTACACTGTTGACACACTGTTTGACACTGTTTGGCACTGTAGAGACACTGTTTGGCACTGTTGAGACACTGTTTGGCACTGTTTGGCACTGTTTTGATGTAGATTTCTTTGCCAAAAAAGGAAATAAGGAAGTGTGAAGTTTATTTTAGACCGTCCCAAAAAGGAAAGTGTGAAGTTTATTAAAAACCGGAGGGAGTACTATAAATTATTTTCCCAAATTTTAAAAGTAGGGTATAATTCACACGATACTTACGTGACACGACTCAGAAACAGATCAAATACAATCTATCTTATTGCTACGAGTGCCTATTTATCTAAACTGCGTATGAAATATTCAACTCGGGCGTTGTTTAAAAACGATCCACCATTTTAATTTTGTATATATGTTGAGTTTCGACCCACCTGAGCCGTTTTTCTGACTACACACACCTACTTTTCTCCCAATAGCGTTAAATTCCTCTGTTCAGATAGTCTTATGTGGATAGCTAAGTGTAATTGACCACCATATCACGTGAATAACAGGAATAGCTTTTTGCACGGGAATATTAAGAAAGAACTGTACATGGAGGAATAAGATTTCTCTCTAACTGCCCATAGGCAAAACCTGTCCCAGAATCTTTAAGTAGATAGATAGCAAAGCAACATTATGTGAAGTCTCTCCTACTCTCCTTCCATTTCCTATGTTTTTATATCAAACTCTTTCTAGACATTGTTATGAGCTTCAATTAAAGAAATTTTAGGAAAATATGCAGTACATTTAACAAAGCAGAGAAGGAGGCGGAACTATACAGCTAGGTTAGCCGTCTCATCCTCCATAAGGTACTGCGCTTTGAGAACAGGTACGCTGCAATATTCCACACAATTATCTATCTCCTCTTGACTTTTGGTTCTATCGAAGCACTCGTATGCGCATTTGAAGTATGCTTGCTGCAAAATACCCAGATAAGCCGTACAATCATATTAACATAACGCAATCAAAGCTCCGACATCCTGATTACTTAACAATGGCTGTAAATTGGATGCGCGGAAGAAATGGAATAAACCTGAAGGGTGAAGTGAATGTGGTCTTTGACACCGGAGAGTTGGGCCTCTGTAGCAGCGCTGATGTCATCGAGTGTTTTTCTAATCTTATCCGCTGCCATTCGCTGCTTGGCTTCTGCCAAGTGATCCATCTGCTCTGGGGCTTTGTTCGTATATCCTCCTTGCTTTTTTCAAGGAAATAAATAAAGAATAATTTAGGGGTGTTTGGAGGGAGAATTTGACTTTGTAGCACATGTTTGAGGTGATATTTGACTTTGCACCCTATTTTTAAAATAATTAATGTATGCATCCCATCAATCCAAAAATTGTGAAGGAATGGGGTGCAAAGTCAAATGGTTTTATAGGGGATTGGGGTGCATACATTAATCATTTTGAAAATAGGGTGCAAACTCAAATATCACCTAAAACATGGGGTGCAAAGTCAAATTAGAGTACCAGAAGTGCTTCTGGAATTTCACTCAAACACTCCAGCTTCTGCTTCTGCTCCCTAAAGGAGCAGAATCAGTTTTGAGAATCAGATCCAAACACTCTCTTACTCTTACGGAGTACGAAGTATTTAAGAAAGAAAGAGTATTTGTACTAAGGATGTTTTTATTTGGACCGTAATTTGTCCCAGACCAGACCACAATAGATCAAACCAGATCAGACTTGGATAGTTATAAAATACAAAGAAATTAGACCAGACCAGACTAGTTCAGACCAGATCAGACCAGACTAGCAAATTACAGTCCAAGTAAAAACGTCCTAAAAATCACAACTTTAAATCTAATTTGTCATCAGTTTATATGTATTAATTCAGTCAATTCATTTTTTCCCTGCAATCCAGCACCGTCAATATATTCACTCGGCAAAATTTTATTTAATTGAATCCTTACTTTTATTATTATACATCATTTTTCTGTCATTCTTTTTTAATGAATAATTATGATTTAAAATATCAAACATTACGATGTAAAAATAAATCAATTTGGAGTTCAATTTTTTTATTGCTACTTCTGATCTTTTTTTTGAAAAAAATACGTGAAAAATGTAAATAAATATTTTAATCATTGAATCTTAATACCTATTATTTAATTTAAATGAACCTCATCCATTGTTGTAGACTAAAGCGGACGTCTCCCTCTCCGTAGGGTTTGGTGTATCCCGTCGTTCACGTGCGGGTTCTCCCTCTCCGTAGGGCTTGGGCATCGAGATCGAAGGAGGATGATTGCAGATGGAGATGGCTGGCATCGAGATCGAAGGAGGACGATTGCAGGGGATTGACAATCATCGAAGTGAGGCTATAACGATGGGCAAATTCCAAGAGCAGATCAGCGGTGAACAAAAGGACAAGAACGAGGCGATTGATGATGATGAAGAAGAGGCGGTCGAGTCGGAGGAAAATCGCATTGGTGCGACAACAATCGTTGTGATGGCCCGGCCTCCTCCAGAACCACCGCCAAGGGTTGATCGACGCGTTTTAGAGTTTGCTTATTTATTTTTTCTGCATTTTAATTTCAACGTTAAGACGTTTGTGTTTGGTTGTTGTTTTATTTTATGCTGTAAGACTTTTGCACTTGGTTTGGGGGATGAGAGGCCTGCGGTAATCGTCGTTGGCTTTAATTTGCCCAAGTTAGGTCTAGTGCCTGCTTTGCCAAAGGTGATTAACTCAGGGTCTCGGCCAAGGGCGGATGGTTACATGTGGTCCTTTCGCTATCTTTCACCCCGACTGAATGTTATTTTATCAATATAAGCATCCCTTGATAAAAAAATCAATGAATCTTAATATTAGCATTTGGATCTCTTAAGATTTTGGGCCTAAAAATCTCACAAAAGATGAAATTCCGTACATAGTATTTATAAATTTTATTTACGTCATGTTGATGTCATATGAAAGATAATTAAAAATTATGAATTTTGATATATTTTTTTTTTATAAAAATTGGATTATAAATATAAAAGTTAAATCATTTTCAAAAGAATGGGATATTTATATTTGTGGGCCCATGCTTATGGAACGTACTGCGCACGAAAGGAGGTTGCCCCAGCTGCTCTCATCTCTCCGTGAATAAGGGTTGGTTTGCAAATGCTTTAAAAAAAAGCACTACACAGTTTTTGGCTTTAAAACACTTATTTTGCCAAACACTACCAACTTTTATTTTTCTCGGCTTTCATGTCAAAAGTGCTTTTACTTTTTCTATTACACAAAAAACACTTATTTTACCAAACACTACCAACTTTTACTTTTCAAAATCATTTTTTTCTCAAATACTATCAACTTTTATTTAATCACTTCTCCCCATTTCATTAAAAAAATCATTTTTTAAAAGAAGAAGCTGTTGCAAACAGACCATAAGGCTAATTGGAGTGGTGAGGTATTATGAGTCCAAAATGTTAAAAATGACATTTGTGGAATCCTAATTTCATGCACTAGTGGCTTGAAGAGAGTATAAAAAATGGGTATGGGGAGGGATGAGGTTAAATTTTGAGGAATTTGGACTGTCAAAAAATAAATGTAAAAGAAATTGAAAAGGAGGAAGTGGGCGGATGCGGATGGGAGGTGTGCGCAGACGGAAAAGCACAGGTGTGGCCCGCGACAGAGATGTCGCGCAGGGATTAAAGTGAGCTGACCGACGTCATAGTATTGTCGTGATGATGTCACTAAGTGCCCACAACGGCAATAATTTAAAAACAAGATTGGTAGATCCAACGGTTGTGATGATTTTGACACTGTTTGAACGGGGAAAAAATTGATCCAACGGTTGAAATAATTTATGTTATTTTTCAATTATTTTTAATTAATATTTTGCTCAAAAATCCTATATAAACACCTCATTCCTTCCTATTTCAATCATACATCTCCCATCTCTCTCATTCTTCATCATATTTTGTTCACTATCTATATATGTGTTATGTCTTCCTCAAGAAGGGGCGTTAATTGGAGTGTGAGGATGTTGTTCTATGCAACGCTTGGGTTACCATATCTGATCAAAGCTGTGGAGTCGGAGATTATGAAAAAACCATTATGAGTTACAGGATGCGGACCTTTCAAAGTTTTCACCGAGGAAGCAAAGTTGAATTAGGCAAAAACAAGATGAAATCATGGGGTATTTTCAAAATACTTCAAATGATGTTCCTGACACTTCCGCGGAAGAAGAAGTGTATCGTCCCCACTTCAATTTCTAGTTATATATGTATTGTTGTTTTTATTTTGTATTGTGTTGTAAGTTGAGTTTCAGGTATGTTTCAATTTTAAATTCCATGTTTAGTTATTTTAATGTATTCCATGTGTTATTGTTTTAATTATGTGTGCTTGTTTTAATGTTCACGTTTATTTTTATTTAAATTCCATTTATTTTAATTATTCCACTTTCATTATTTTAGATACTAAAAAGATAGAAGTAATTTACACAAACCCAAATATTTTATTAAGGCACATAAAAGTTCCATAAATACATAAAGATTTTAGGGAATACATGAAATACATGAAACACAATTGGATTGAGAAAACACATAAATATTTAAGGGAAGCATATAAACTATATTCCATTTTCATGGTGCCTCCACAAATAGTTTTTGAGATCACTTTTAAGCGATGTGTGCATTGAGGAGTCTCGAATTCGATTGTGGCGCATCATATACCGACTCAAGGTTGGGCCATCATGGTTAAAATCCAATTCAACGATGCCAGCAAGTGAAGAATAACATCCAATGTATTATGAAAGGACACACATAGTGTAAAAAAAGAATCTAATGTCATATAACGTGATATGAAATGACATACATAATAGAAAAGAAAAACCAATGTGATATGAATAAACACAACAAGTTGAAAAGGGAATACAATGTGTATGGATAGACACACAAGTTGAGAAAAGAATCCAATGCTCCAATGTGTTTGAACACTTCATCGATAAACGTAAAAAAATATTAATGAAATTTATTTATTTTTTACATCAAAATGTGTCTTTTTTATTTTATAATTAAGCAGAGAAAAAATTAAAAAGCAAACATTACTTATAATATTTTAATTAATGTTTTACTAAATTGATATGTAAAAAATGTGCAAAGTGTATTTTATTGACGGTGCTGGAATGCAGAGAAATGAGAGTCAAACACTGTTTTGATATAACCGGAGTCTATTTTTGACATTTAGACTCTCACACCCCTCCAAATGGTCTAAGGATAACAATCCCCACTCCATGGAGTGCCATACTCCCAATTTGGCTTTCTCAAATACGTGGGTTGCAGCAAACCAAGGAATGAAAATTCCAAAATTGGCTTTTGACTGTGCCGGCTGCAGTGAGCCTTATAGGCACACCAATAAAAGTCTATTTGTACGCAACCTTATTACCTTATACACACTAATGTAGTCGCTCACATCTATACTAATATAAAAAGGGAAACCAAGGACAACAACCCTTTCTCTCAAAGTAACGACCGGACACCTTTCAAAAAAAAAAACGGCTGGACAAATTGCAAAATCCGTAGTAAAATTGAATTAATACGAAGTATATGTATATATCAATGGACGTGACTTTAAACATATTTGTAACAATGGACATGACTTTAAAATTGAAGTCTTAAATATCATATGGAGTAAGATAAAGGTACGTGGCTTGCATCACGTAGACACATGATGAACCAAAATGGTTTCCATCACACGCGGTCTGCGGCATTAGCAATCCAGGAGGCAGCCTGGCATCAAATACGAAGCAGTTTCTTGGGTTGTTCTGGAAATCATGCACGTTTCCCTTTATATCCCACTCTATTGGATAACTACGTGTTGTCTATAATTCTAACTTTGGCATCAAATTTCATTCACATACCCGTCGAAAATGAAGTTGCTATGTATGCAAGTGTAATCATTGGTCAAAATGCTTATTGCTATCACTAATTTAGTGATTGCCAAGTTGCTAAAAAATGTTATCTGACAAAATCCATAAACTTATCAGAAAGAGAAATTGCCAGCGTTCTACAATAAGAATGATACGTCTCCGTTGAATTCATTTTCCATTACTCTGAGGTACTACGTTAAATTAAATGTGAACCATAACTTTGGTCAATTGATTTTTTTTTAACTTTTTGAAGTTCTTAGTTCATTACTTATTTTTGAGTTTTTTGAGTAACTTTACAAAAGTTCTTGATATTCTAACGAAAAAATTATTTTGAATACGGTGAGACAATTCATTGAAATTCACAATGGATCCATGAATTCAAGGAACTTATTAGGGAAGGCAATATCTAAATTCTTAGGAATCTCATTGCCATGTGTGCAATATAAGAGAAAATAATTAATTGCAATCCAATATGTACCATAGTTCATTCATTTAAAGGAATATTAAGATTATTTAGAGCATCCTCATTGTTTAGATTATTTAGAGATCAATTGGATGATGTGGATGATTTTCTTGGGATTATGATTGAAAAATGAGATTATTTAAAAAGATTATTCTCTAAAAAATCTGGTATCGAATATTGAATCTAGATTATCTGGAAATTTTTGCGTACATCTTAATTCAGTGCTGGTGGAATTCAAGAAAAAGCATTAAATGTGAAAGACTGGAAAGAGTAGCATATGCGTTTAATCATGTATACAAAAGTTTACGGCGGCGGCTAAATTTACTGTTGTGGTTAATCACGTATAGGAAAGATTTCACGTAAAGATTTCTATACGTTTTTTTTTGAAAGATTTCTATATGTTTGTATATATAGTTTGTTTTGGTATTGTCCCATAAATAATTTGATAATTAAAGATGATGGTTGAGGGGATTTAATGAGTATTATGATTATTTCGGATTTTTTACGTGGCTGTGATGTGACAAAAAAAAGCTGTTTATCTAATCTAACAACAATATAATAATGAATGAAGGTTGGTACCCCTGAAAAAATGTCAACACACTTAGTGCATAAGATATTGTACATTGTTATTAGAAGATGGAATTCTATTTTTTCCATGTGCTACTTTACCCTCAATGTCCGTAACATTTAAACTTCCGTTAACGGAGTAGTTTTCTTTTTAAATAATATATCCCATCTACGTACAAAAGAAGCATATTATACGGATGGCCATGCGCCCATGCCACCTCTTCATTTAATTTTATTTTTCTATTATTCTTTTCATTTTTTTGATGTGAACTTGTTATTATACGAGTATTATTTTATTTCTTCTATGACTAATGATTACTTCTCATGCACTCAAATTTTATTTAATTTAATGCATTATTATAAATTTTATTGTACTTTCTAAATATATAAATTATATTTTTTGGAAAAATATATTGTTATAGTTACGGATTATATGTTCAATACAAGAAGTATTTCACTTGTGAACTAACATACAGAAGTTTCCTATCCAAGGTCGATGCTACATAGCTAAACACGTGGCTTAAATGTAATCTTTTAGTACTTCCAACACATATGCTTACAACCTTGTCAGGAATGTGAAATATTTATTGCTCAAAAAAATGGTTTGTGCACAATTATATGCATTTCGATGATATTTACATCAATATTCTTAATGTATTTCTAAAAATTGATTAAAGATGAACCACATAATCACATATTTTTCGCACAATTATTGATTGACACGGAATATAATTATTCCGACTTTTTTTTTAAATATACATAGTATATGATGAACTCGTTTGGTAACACTGAAACTGGCTGATTAATTCTGCTGAAATTTATGATGTTCTTACTGTATTGACTGTATTGGCTGATCCTCCTTATCTATGAATAAATTATATTAAAAATATATTTTATTAATAAAATAAAGAAAAATTATATGGAAAATAGCTAAAATAGTAATTTACATTAACTTCAGCCAATACAGCCAGAAAAGTTATTGCAACCTTACTTTTTGTTATTATTACACAACTCAGCGTGCAAAATAAAAAATTACGTGTTTGATTAAAAAGTTGGCTGAGAAGTCTGATAAGCCGAAAAAAGAGTCACCGAAAGAGCTCGATATGTACAAATTTCATTAGCTATTTACGAAACTCGCCTAACAATTTTACATATGACACTTTTTATTACAAAAGATAACATTATTTTAATATTGGGCAAATACTCTCGCGCCTTGCGCGAGTAATCGCTAGTTTAGTGAATATGAATGAAGATGCTCTTAGACTCACCTAAAAAATGAGATGACATTAAGTGCACAGAACATCTATGGTTATTTATACTCATAACCCATACCAAATCAAAAGAGATTAAAATGAAAGTGTGTTATTTAGTTTGAGAATAACAAATTTAGAAGCATTTTATCCTAATGGTAATAATTAATAGATTTCAAATGCACAAATGTAATCTGACTCCAGATAATCATAGGGCATAAAGGAAAAAACCATTAGGGGTAATTTGAACTTTTGGAATATCATAATTTGATGATACACATAGATCAATAGCCATTCAAACACGCATCTATCTTTTGGAAGTGATAATTAATCGAAGTGAACTTTAACTTTTTTAAATTTAAACTAAATCGGAAACGGATGTCAAAATATATCCAACTGAAACGTAGGCAAAAAATAAGTACCTCTCAGGCGATTACATCTAACTCATGAATGTTTTTTTATCATAAATGTATTCAATTCTGTTAATATAAATATATATAATATTAGTATTTAATTATTTAAAATATGAATATATTTTTGTCCCGTGCATCGCACGGGTTATATACTAGTTATACCTTATACCCAACACCCTTATACCCAACACCCTTATATACACTAATATAGTCTCTCACATTGGTGAGTATAAAGGTCGGTACAATATAGTCCCATGAACAATGAAGTACTCCTTCCGCCCTGCAACATAGTTCTCACTTTTCTTTATGGATTATTCTAAAAAATATTCTCATTTCTCTTTTGAAAAAGTTTTGTTATCTTCTATTCATTTACCTTTTCCTACTCAACCACAATCATACATTTCCGCTTTATTCACACTTTCTTAAACTCCAATCAAAGTCAAATCAGGATCTATCTTGCGGGACAGAGGGAGTAGAATCAGTAGATAATAGATGAATTGGGGGAAAATAAAAAATAAAAATATCATTTACTCCCAGCAGGGTCCTAGATAAAGAGGGAGAGCAACTTTCCCGGAATAAATTTCATATTTTATCTACTCCGTATGAGTTTTATGTCAATTTCACATTTAGTTCACATCTTTCTTTTTGTCCACTTTTTAGATTGAACTACTTTTTTTCCATATAAGGTCCTTACATCAATTTTTCTGGTGGTTAGAATCGCCGGGAAAAGATCATAGATAGTCAAGAAACATTAGTCAAGTATCAAAAGTAAATAAAATGAAATATGTCAATTAAATGTGGAATTGAAACAAAAATGTGAGTATAATATTCGATCAAATGACTTTTAAGCTTTCTAATTATGAGCTAAGACATGATTATCTATCTTAGGCTTCTTAGCTTGCATTTTCAACGGGAGAGTACGTGCATATACATGTTCTATCCCGGCAAAATGATTGAAACAAAAAATGATTATTAAAGACTTATCCTTATGTTAGTAATGTAAATGAAGAGAGTTGCAGGATTAAAAATGAGGCATATACCTGTAACCTGATTATGCTAGGCCCATGACTTCAAAACAAAGTTAGATAGAAATTATGCTTGGTGATTAAATTTCAAAACTTAAAAGCAGTTAGAAACACAAGCCTTCTATTTTATATTCACAATTCGTAATTGTAAAATTTCAAATGCGAGCTCTTTTAATAATAAAATAAAGTCAATATTTCACTCAATAAATACTTCACGTGCAAAACCATAAAACCTCAATTATTTGGTTGTCATACATTTCTTCCTTAACTTTTACAAGTATTTAGAAATCAAAAACACTTCGATGTGAAGAAATTGAGCTCATTTATGTTACTTTTTACATTTTACTTGTGTATTCTTCACCACGAAATATATACATAAAATATTAGATTGTATCTTGAAAACTTGAAAAGCCGTCAGGAGTAACCAATGTCCTAAAAGGCGCTAGGCGCTAGTCGGGCACCAACCCAACGCCTAGCGCCTAGGCGGGCGCCTAGTCGGAGACTAGTCAGAGACATAGAAATTGCATTTTTATTTATATTTTTGCATAAATATGATAAGTAATACTCCCTCCGTCCCAGAGAGAAGTTCCCGGGTTGACTTTCACACATATTAAGGGAATAAAGTTACTGAGGGGTAAATTTTACTGTTTGGCACTGTTTCGACACTGTTTTGCACTGTTTGGCACTGTTTTGATGTAAAATAACTTTCCATTTGGGGAAATGGGAACTTTTTGTTGGGACTGCCAAAAAAGAAAAGTGGGAACTTGTCCCTGGGACGGAGGTAGTATTGTATTTTGTGTGTGTATAAAATACATATATACATATACATTAACAAACATGAATGATATAATTGTCACATTTAATCATACGAAGTATATGATAACTAATCACTTAATTTTATTATGTTATAAATATAAATAATGATAAAATTTAGGTATATATATACAAACATATATGGTTTTATCTTTATTTACAACTTCATTTGTTTATATCCATGGCTAAAGTTAAAGTATGTATATCACTTAGAAAAATAAAATTAAAATGTGAAGTAATTTTCGACAAATTAGACGCCCTAGGCGGGCGATTAGGCGCTCTAGGCGGGCAACTAGGCGCCATAGACGGGCGACTAATTCACCTAGACGGCAAACCAATTAGTCGGAGCGCCTAGACGAAAATCGGGGCGCCCGACCACCGCCTAGCGCCTAGGCGGGGACTAGTCGGGCGTCTGGAATGATTTTTAGAACAGAGGGAGTAACTCAATAATGCCTTATACGTTTGAACATTTTTGTTTGTGCTAGTATCATACGATAGTATTAATTAAAAGAAACTCAGACATTCAAAAGAAAAACCCAAACTTAAGATTCCACCAATTCCATTTTCACCCATACATTGCAATTTGCAGAGACACAATAACTAAACATATCCTCTAAGTATATCAGAAAAAACATCCATATACACGCACTTGTGGAACAATTTAGCCCGAAAAGTCTAAATTTGGAACACACACATATATTTGTCTCACTAAAGCTAAAAATTTACATTTAAAAAAAGTCATACTTTATCGGTAAAACTGATGTTAAAAGCTAAGAAAAGTAATAAAAACTTACACAACTTAAGAAGTGTGCAAGTATTTCAAAAAGCTTATTAATTTACTCTATTTGTACATTAAAGAAGCTCACATTATGTTTAAGGTAATCAATTTCTTTATTTAAGGTGTGTGGGCAGTGGGATTTTTGCCCAAAGTAAATTTTAAATTGTACTCTTGAGAGTGTACAATTACTTAGAGCCACACAACAATAGCCCAAGCCACTAGAACACATCTGACCCAATAATATTCAGTCATTTTTAGTTTGTTATTTGGCTAAAAATAATCTCAAATAACTAATTATGAGTCAAGTTCTTATAAATCCACACATGATAGATAGAGTTGCAAAAGTGGGAAGTTCAAAACTAATGTCACTGATTAGATTCTTTTTACAGATCAATTTAAAACTAATAAAAGTATCTATGCAACTCTCCTAAAGCATTCCCTTCCATTTACACATATTCTCCATTCAAAAGATTAAAGTCACACAGTATAATTTAACCTATTTACTATTTAGATTTGTTAAAGTTTAATACTACATTCGTCCTAAAAAGAAGTTATCACTTTCCTTTTATGGATGTCAAAAAAGAAGTTTCAGTTTTATAAGACGAAATCACTTTTAAACCAAAAGTCACAATACCTCAATTTTTTTTTATTGATTTGGCGTCAAGAATACCTAGAAAGTTAATTCAAAACTTTTCTTTACAGGAATATGTGTGAAAACTTCATTTGGGACAGAGGGAAATGGGAATACGATTTTATTCATCAAAGGCAGCTACCATACTAGAGACTACCAGCCACAATTGTCCACATGTCCCCTTCCTCGAGTTCTGGAATTCCCAAATGGTCAAAAGGCTAAAACCATTCAACCTGCCTCAAGTCTTAAGCAACAGGAGTGGCGGACAGCGCAACATCAATAATTTTTTGCTTCAAAAACAAAGATTAGCGAATACCATAACAAATTCAATCGTTCGAATGGAATCTCCAACGGCCGTTTCCTGCGAGAATCTCCCCACTTTCCTATCCTCTTTCGCCGACACTTTCGTCGATTTCTCCGTCAGCGGCGGCCTCTTCTTGCCCCCCGTTCCGCCGCAATTGAGCCCACCCCTAAGGCCCGACCCATTGCCACGGCTGCAGACCGTATTCCAAGCACCGGCCCGTCTCATCGCGGTGGGCGACCTCCACGGCGATCTTCAAAAGACGAAGCAGGCGTTCCGCCTCTCCGGGCTCATTGACGACCAAGAACGGTGGTGCGGCGGCTCCACCACCGTAGTTCAGGTCGGGGATGTGCTCGACCGCGGCGGGGAGGAGCTAAAGATTCTGTTTTTTCTCGAGAAGTTGAAAAGGGAAGCGGCTAAGGCCGGCGGTGGTGTGATCACGATGAACGGTAATCACGAGATCATGAATGTAGTGGGTGATTTCCGATACGTGACGAAAGACGGGCTTAAGGAATTTGAGGATTGGGCTTTCTGGCATTCGGTGGGGGATACTCTGAAGAAGATGTGTGAAGGTGTAGGGGAAACTAAGGACCCCTTTGATGGGGTGCCTTTTAAATTTCCTGGACTGAAACCCGAGTTCTTTGCAGGATTTAGGGCACGTGTGGCAGCATTGAGGCCTAGCGGGCCGATTGCGACTAGGTTTTTATCACAAAACCAGACTGTGGTTGTCGTGGGAGATTCGGTTTTCGCCCATGGCGGGCTCTTGCCCTTACACGTGGATTACGGATTAGAGAAGCTGAATGAAGAAGTGAGTGATTGGATTTCGGGGGTTCGGGGTTCGGTTTGGAGGGAGTTGGTCATGGGGAGAAATTCCATTGTTTGGTTAAGGAAGTTTTCGAATGAGCTCGCAAAAGATTGTGACTGTTCAGCCCTTGAACATGTGCTGGCTACAATCCCGGGTGTGAAGAGGATGATAATGGGACATACCATTCAGGAGAGTGGGATTAATGGGGTTTGTAAGAACCAGGCTATAAGGATTGATGTTGGTATGTCCAAAGGGTGTGGCAATGGACTACCAGAAGTCTTGGAGATAGATAGACAGTCAAGAATAAGGGTTCTGACTTCAAATCCTATGTATCAAGATAGAAAAGATGTAGATGGCTTGATTATGCATCCTCCACAGGTGGGGAGGCAAGTAGAGGTTAATGCCTGAATTCTTACTTTGTTGCTATCTTGGAGTTCTCTTCTTGTGGATACTTTAGGTATGACACCAATTGCAAATCCAGTTATATTGGTGTTACCACAATCGATTTATTAACTAATGATTCTACTCTGGAATAAGCAATTTCGGTTCTCATTCTCAAGTTTTATAACAATCGAACCGTTGTATTAAACCTCTGCTTCCAGTCCATAGGTACTATGCAATTCTGGTAAAGAAACTGGCAAGTATCAATTCCAATGTAATAGAAAACCATGAATAAATTTATACCTGCCTTGTTTTTTCATTTTCAAGAGATCATTTGTATCTTTACTGCTTTCAATCATATGATATGCACTCACAGAAGCTATGTCTCATATGCTGAGAAAGTCTAGAATAGAGGTGTATATAGCCGGTAGAAATATTTCAAAGTTTATTCTGAATCAAAATTTCACCTAAGACCTTTACAATTTCAAACATCCTGTCAAGATGGAGATATCAAGAAGTTGTGTACAAAACATGTGTGATTTTATTATCCGCAAGAGGGAAAAGTTATGTTGTAATGCCAAAAGTAGGGAAAACTATCAAATAAGCCCCCCTACTATATCACAAAAGTCGATTAGGCCCTTGTACTTTACAAACACTCAATTAAGTCCTTGAACTATTAAAAAACGCTCAATTAAGCCCTTTCGGTCGGTAAGTAACCGGTTTTCCGGTTAAATATAACTCGTTTCCCAGCAGCCGCCGTTGCTAGGGTTCGAGCACATCGTCGTCGTCGTCGCCGTTTAACCGGGAAACCAGTTACTTACCGACCAAAAGGGCTTAATTGAACGTTTATTAATAGTTTGAGGACTTAATTGAGTGTTTGTAAAGTACGAGGGCCTAATCGACTTTTTCGGTATAGTACGAGGGCTTATTTGATAGTTTTCCCCCAAAAGTATCAATGAAAACAATTAGACTAAACTACCAATTTTAGACAATGCTTAATGATAATTGTCACCCAAAAAACGAGCTGCATAAGTTGTTAATTTAGAATAGACAAATTGAAGTTTAACTACCATATTTGTTTCTCTGTTCCTATCATGATTCAAAGCACTCGCTAGTCACTACCCTTCTACCAAGTTCAATAGATTAAACCACCAAAAAGTGCAAGTTACTCAATGAAATAAATTGCAGCTCGTGTGTACTAATGTATCTAGGAGTGAGCATATCGGTTCCAGTTTAATTTTATTAATATTTGGTTCAGTTCGGTTTGAATGAGTTAAAAAAAGATTGTAAAATAAAAATTATATTATCGATGGAGTATATGGTCATATACCCTAGGATATGTTGTAAGAACCGGATAAATATGCGACCCAACTACATGACTGGGTCACACGTCACTTCGGACCTGGTGGGTCAACCCGTTCAACGCTAGGGGTGGGCACGGTCCGATCCGGTCCAATATTTCACCGTACCCGTACCGTGACGGTACGGTTTGGTCTTAGACCTAAACCCATTCGGTACAGTTCCATCTTCAAACGGGACAGTACCATTCCATACAAATACCAACTAATGCCACTTTTTTCAAGTGTTTAAGAGAAAATTTAAATAATTAAACTATACTTTGGTCCGGTTCCAAGCTTCTAGTGAGCTACCAAAGGTTGTGAAAGTGCAAATGCACTAATCAAAGTAATGACATAAATGTACATATAAATAATTAAATCAAACTTCGGTCCGGTTCGGGACCGGTTCTCATTTTATGAGAACCGGTCATGGCATTGTTCGGTCGGTACAGTTCGGTTCGGGATAAAAAATTTGAGATCCGTTTCAAACCCCTTTTTTCGGTCCGGTACCATACCGGTCCGGTATCATGCTGGTTCGGTATTTTTGCCCACCCCTGGTCAACACTAGGAAATCGATCAACATTTATACAATAAAAATAAACATATAATTATATACTATCTCTGTCCCATTTTATATGTCTTGTTTCGGTTTGATGCAATAATTAGTAAAATGATTGAAGAAGTAAAAATTGTGGTTGCGTATTAAGTATAATAAAGTAAAATGTCGTAACCACATATTTTTTTCCAAAAAAAGATATTTGACACTTGTTTTGGGTTAACCCAAAAAGAAAAGTAAGACATCTAAAATGGACAGGGAAAGTGTAACATTAAATTGGAAAGTACATAGTAGTTATTGTTCATAATAATCAATTAATGATAATACTTGGTAAGAATTTAAAATACTCTCATAATATTTCAAAATATAATTTTTGTTTTATTAGAATAAATAATGTTATTTGTTATTTGTATTTGTACATTTTAATATAATTTGACATAATTTTATTTCGTAAATAAATATATAAATATGTTACATATTTCCCCCATTGGGGTATTAAAGTTGCAATTTAATTGGTTTAAAAAAATGCTTAAAAACAACATTTTTTTAAATAACCTCCGAAACTGGGTTACACCGGATTGTTCGGGTCCGAGCCGGGGTTTTTCAGATTGACCGTTTTTTTTTTCCGAATTTTTAATTGCTCGATCTAGTTTTGGCCCAGGTCACCAATTTCTGGTTCGATCCAGCCGGTCTGTGTCGGGTTTTTTAACATAGACCTCAAGGCCCCAAACAAGAAAGCCTAAGATATCAACCCAATCATTTACCCAGTAGGCCTAGTCCCTGCCCTGAGACCGAGATATCATCATAAGCCCAACTCCACTCTGGCAGGCTCATTCCACTCCGGTCTGAGCTATCCCAATGAGCCCAAGCCCAATGACTGACCGCCACATGGATCCTAGACCAAAACTACCAGATGAGACCGAGTGAGTCTGCTTGCCTCGATTCGGTTACAATTTTATACATACTCATTCCCCGAACATTATAGATACACGCATTTCCATGGCTTACGTTATTGTCGCCTTCACTAATGTCATAAGTGCAAATTTTGAAAGGGCTTAGACCATCAGTGACATCATCCCTATATTTTCATGCCGATATCACACAACATCAGTAAGGATGGCAATGGGGGCAGGGACCCATGGGGAACCGCCCCCGTGGGGGAAGGATGGGGTGGGCTTGGGGCGGGGACGGGGATGGGTGAGATAATTTTACGCCGTTAAAATATGGGGCGGGAGACGGGTATTGCTACACCCGCCCCGTCCCCGCCCCGTCCCCGTTATAAATATATACTCAAACATATATATATATATATATACACTTACACACACACACACACACACACACACACACACACACACATATATATATAATGTACACACATGTTAAATTAAATTATATGTAGTATATAACAAACTCATATACACATAGACATACATAATTGTATACGGTTTAATCATGTTTAATGAATTAATACACATATTATACTAGAATAATATGGAGTAATAAGCTAATAATGATTAAAAGTATTTATCATAAATGTTATATGAGTTTTAAGAGTGGGAAAGTGAGTAAATAAATACACACACATTTATATGTACTATAATATGTAATTAATTGTATTGTAATTGTTGAAAATTTTAAAACAATGTACATGGTGATAATATGTTTACTTATATTTTTACTTTAATTGTCTTCAATTCACAAAACTTATTCAAATTGAAGAATTATTAAAATTGGCGGTATTAACTTTTAACAGACACAATACTTCAGCGTTGCGTGTGTGTGTATCATATATGATTGTGTGCGCGTAGATATACATAGGTTTAGGATCAAATGAGAACAACATTTAATGTGAGAATGTGCGAACACCACATTTACCCCCAATGTGAAGCACAATGGGCTCGCGCAATGCACTTTTTTCGTATCTAGCATAATATTTACAAAAGTGCCACCGTGATTATATATATTAGCTTGTATTGAGCAAAGTCCAAATGTGCACTAGAATGGCTCTATTGTGTATCACATTGGATTATTGTGTATCACATTGGATTAAATGTGATTGTTCCCACGTCAAGCATCGTTCACGTTGGAATCACACTACATATATTTATAATAAGAGATTAAAAGTATATGCAAATACGATAAATTAAATCTATATGGGGGCACCCGTGGGGGACAACGGGATGGGACGGGGATGGGAGTAACGGGGGATGGGGCGGGGATGGGGGAAACTTTTTAAACATGGGGCGGGGATGGGGGAGTGTACCCCACCCCAAACCCGCCCCATTGCCATCCCTAAACATCAGTATGACATCAACAAACGTGCTCCCCAAAGTATTTTTGGGACACATGTAGCTCCCCACTAGCTTAGCATTTGGGGTTTGAGGGCCAATCCTTTTATTTTGTCTACAAGTAGTCATCTTTCCCTCGAAATCCTTGTACTGTTATTTTGCCAATTTATTAGACCACTTTCTCAATCTAGATTTGCTTCAACCTAACTTCTCTCTTGAATTTTTCTTTAACGGGTTCTAATACAATAATAATAGTTTAATACCCATTAATTATGTTTTAGTTTGATCTCTGTTTGAATTTGTTGTTTTAAATATATAAAAGTTTTCTTGAATTTTTGATTTGGTTCAATTTGATTCCATTTTTGATGTAATTTGAAAGAACAATTCTGTTATTGGTACCTCAATTTGTACTCCAACCTATATTTGTGACTCACAAAAGCCCACTTCAATAAATGAATTGTTCTACTTTAATGAGTCGCTTTTGTAAATCACAATAAATGAATTCTATTTTTGTTGAAAGAATTACATACTCGTATATGACTTAATTTCAATGAGGAGTGGCAGCCTGGCAGGGTTCAGCCGCTCAGTTAGGTGAACCCACAATATGCTCACAGCCCACTCTAGTTTGACCCTAGAAAAGAACACCCAGGTGCCAGGGTGCAATCCGTCATTAATTCCATTTTCCAGTCCGAACCTTCAACGACGGCCCATTCAATTCATCCTCCTTCTCCCTCCCTTCTTTGACCGACCGCCTCTCCCTCACGCACTACACTAATACTATAACTGTAATAAAACAATTCAAATCACGCGGAGTATGGTATATTTACGTATGCAACCGATTGAAGAATGTTCATCCGTTACTTTAATTCTAATCTCGATAATCTGAATCATTAGTCCTTTTCCTCCACGTTGACTCGTCGCTAATTGCTAAGTTGTTGCGGGCCGCAATCACGCACGTGGTTTCTGGGACGGCGGAGATGGTGACGGAGGCGCATTTGTTGGAATGCTTGGTTCCGTCGTGGTGGGAGGTGCAGGTCACCGTTTTCGCTGCGGCCTTCTTCATCTTCACGTATTGGTTTTTCACACTCGGCGGTAACGCCTGCTTTGACGATCGCGGCTCCGCCAGCGACTTTTCCAGCGCAGTTGAAGATAGAGATAAGGTCAGTTTTGAATTCTGTTTGAGTTCTCATTTTGACCGTTTTTTGTTTATACGGTTGCGACAAAGTGGGTTTTTAATTGCATAGTTGGGTTACGTACTTACAATTCCACCAGCGACGTCGGTTTTGTTTGCATATCTTTTTTTGTTAAACAATTTGATCGGTGAAATGGCGGTCACGCTTTAACTTCTTAATAATTCGATCATTGCCGATCGTCTTCAGCACCTCGGAGTTACTGCAAATCAAACTACACCATCATGCAGTAACTCCACATCCGTAGTGATTTTCTACCCTACTGTTAGAGAAATTCTACTATTTAGCACTTGGAACTTATGTCTATGACTTGGTCAGTCCTATAATTTCACTCACTTGTCCAGTTGTCCTATAATTTATATTACTTCCGTCCCACTATACATGGACAAGTTTGTATTAGCTATGAAATAAGAAAAGTAAAAATTAGTTGGTTGAGACTTATAGAGAGGAGAGAGAGAGGAATCATACCCACAAATCATTTTCTTTTAGTTAAAGTGTCAAAGTTTTTGGGACAAATAGAAAACGAAAGTTGATGAAGTCTAGTGAGTCGGATATCCGTAGGAAAGCCCACCAGAATCCAGTGACATTTTCTGCCGGTATTGTGGTGAAAAAGTACTGATTATGGTCAAACTTATTAGTTACAGAGTACATGATATGATATGAGTAAAAACTACATCACCAATAATGAATTCATGCATAGTTACTAAGTCAGCCGTTTACTCTTAGAGTTATTATAGAGGATTCTGATTTGTTTTGTGCTTTGATGCTTTCATTAGTAAAGGTCCCAGGAAAGAGTCTGACCACCACCATTATAAAAGTTCCAAATTTGAACTGTTCTGGATAAGTGTGACCTTTATTGTAATTTGGTATTCCATATACCTATGCTTTCTTGCACTTTATTCAATACACCCCCTTAAATTATATGCAATCATCCAACAAACTTTTAAGGAGTACATAGATAGACGCTACCGCCTTCACGTTCTCGTTTTCAAGCATGAGGGTATTATTTCCTTATTGAACGTGTAATGTAATTAAGGTATACTACTTCAATTATTTACTATCTTTTCTTATTGAACATGTTATGTAATAATTAAGGTATGAGATTGTAGTTATTAATTACTTTACCTTACTTAGTTATTGGTTATTTAACCACCTAGTTTATACTTTGGAAGTTTTTAAGATATTGATTAGTTTACCTTATTTCCATCATTTAAAATGGTGCCAAAGACTTACTAGTACTATTTTTTGGCTTGGGAATATGATTGAAAAAGCAAAATGACTCACTAAACTCTCCACACTTCATTTTTTTAAAGCAACAGTTAGTCCATGCAATTTTCGACGCGAATTTCACTATGGGTCATCCGGAAACAGTCTCTCCCTGCTTTAGTACAGGGTAAGACTGTTTACATCCGACCCCCCTTACCCCACCGCAGGTGGGATCCTTTGCGGCACTGGAGTAGTGATGATGATGATTAGTTTACCTTAATTATTTTTTATTTAGTTGCCTAGTTTATGGTTTCGGAAGTCTTGTAAATAACTTCTATCTAAGGAGTTTTTTTGGCACAAAACAAGGATATCGAGAAGTACTAATTTATTGTTCCCCAAATGAATTTCTGGCGTTAGGGAAGCATAACCAAATCTTCAAGAACTCGCAATAATGTTTTGAATTAATTACCATGATGCTACGGATTCCACTTCGTATCACAATATAATTAATTATAATGCTTCTTTACCAACTTTACACAAAGTAATTTCCACTTGTTTGACGTGCAGTCCTGCACTTATTTTGTAGATCAGCCAGTTGAAAGATGGTTTCCAAGGTACTTCCGTATTCATTGTTAAGGTACCATTTCAACTATGCTAATACTTTAATGCCTTTAATCATTTAAATGATGCATGTTTCTTTCATTTATGAATTCATATACCAAGGTAATGTAATATGGTAGCAGCTCATTTTTTTCTACTTTCGTTGCTATGCATTAAGGTTGAACTGCTAGCAGCTAAGAATCTTGTTGCTGCTAATCTGAATGGCACGTCAGATCCATATGCAATCATTTCTTGTGGCACACAAAAGCGTTTCAGGTAGAATTAAAACTATGAAGAATATGAAATGCTTGCTTCCATGTGTGTCGATTGGGTTATATCAAGATCTAGTATGTGATACATGCTAAGGACTAGCACACGAAGAGAAAAGAGCCCGAGTTTGAAATTGATTAGGATTCTTTATTATTATTAGTTAAGTTAGTATATTGTTTAATGTTCTTAGATATTTATTCACTCGAATAATTATTCTTGGTTATCAGGACTCTTGGACTTTGTTATTGTATTTATTTGGGACTCTTTATACTCTCATTATATAACTGGGGTGTTATTTACAGTTAAGAGAAATAATGAGTTCTAATCAAGTTAATTCAAGTTCCTGTCATGGACAACATTCTTCTCCAGTGGTGTCTGTCATGAATGAGTGTCATATCCCAATTATGTTCATAATTTGGTATCATAGCCGTTTCTTTCCAACCCTTTTCATATTTGTCTCTACCCCTTCCCTTTCTTTCTTTTTTTTTTTTGCTAAAAAAGAGTTTGATTTGCTTCCCGGACCAACTGCTGTCATCTTCTGCAATCTGCTCAAGAAAGAGCCCATGTCAATTCATGTGACCTGTGAAAATCAAGTTGGTCATCCCACGTATCCACATGGCAACTGTAACCGCAGGCCTGTACCGTAAAGTCACTGTCGACCCTCTGCCTTCGTCATTGCACCACCAACTTGGAAAGATATTTTTTGAACCTTTTAGTAAGTGTTAGCTTGTATTAACCGAAAAGTTCCTAAAAGGAAAATATTGTAGCTGTTTGATAAAAGCTGACTGTTTAATGTATTCAAGTTTGGTATATCAAGCTTTTGTGACTAATTAATGCTAAGAGCAATAGACTTTCTTTCAGCAGCTGCTCAAAGTAGCTTTTCAAAAAAGATTATAAATTTTTAAACAACTGCTAGAAATGTTATACCGAACACACAATGAAGAGCCTTTAGACTTTTTAAATAATATAAAAGCTAGAAGTCAATGACTTATGCCTACCAAACATGCACCTAGTATTTCTGGGTTTGGAATTTCAATGAGCTGTAGTAATAAAATTTTAATCTATGAATGGCACATTACTTTAAGGGCAATGAGCCAATGATTAGTTGAAGATATGCTAGTGCAAGTAATTGACCTGCTCTGGTAAACTAGCATGGTGCTCTTTTATATATTTCTCATTTTCAAGCTTAAGGATTGACATTTTTAGAGAACTATGGCTATCTTAATTTAAAATTTCCTCTTGACATGATGCTTTTCAGTTTACAGATTCGTTAGGCATCTACAATTAGAAGAAAGTGGTAAGCTCGTAATAAAAATGTGTATCAGAGTAATATTATTTGAATGAGCATATCGACTTGTAGTTCTGTCTTGCTGAATGTTTGTTTCATTATGTCGATGGTCTGATTAGTCTCTGGTATCTGTCCTCATGCACGTTTGATGCTCATTAATTATTAAATAAATACATACTATTATCATCTTTTCCAAATGTTGTATCATATTTGTTTGTGTATGCGTGTATGCCCAATTAATACTCTTGTAATTGCTGCAGTTCAATGGTTCCTGGTTCAAGAAATCCTATGTGGGGAGAGGAGTTCAACTTTTCTGTTGATGAACTTCCTGTAGAGGTATTTTATTCTCTGATGTTTATCTAATTCATTTTATTTTCAAGTGCATGTCATGCGCATGTTTCCTTTGTTTGAATTTGGCTTTATGGAATCGGGGTATATAAGTGTGCTAGGTTTTGGCAGGTGCTTTGCATGCTTGTTCGGTTGTGCCTTGATATGCTTGTGTTTGTGAGTTAAAATTTAAAGGCACGCAATTCCAAAAGACATAGCGATGACACACACCTGCCAAAGCAAAACTTGCAGATCAAGTTTCGACTTGGGATCTCATAGTCTGACATGGGGAGGGTGGGGCTTATGAATAATGATGTTATTGTGTGTTCGATCCACAGGCCAGTGTGATGGCCCATCATCATAGATGTGGTCCAATGTGGTGGCCCATCCTCATGAACAATGCAAAGGGCAGTTTTCATTGTTTGAGCGCAATCAAAGGCTGGCTACCTGTTTGAACCGCAAAGCTTGGCCCTCATTGAGCCTAGCTCAGACATAGAGGTCATTTCACATAGGTTGGACTATGGTCTGGCAGACTTAGCCTGCGGCTGGCTTTAACGGTCTGTTTGGATTGAGTGTTGAGGGTGTTAGTAATGGAAGTGTTGAGGGGTGTTGGTTTTAACACTTGTTTGGGAGATTTTTTTTAAAAAAATTGGAGTGTTAGTAATGGTTTGAAAGTGTTAGAAGAAACCATCCTAACATGATATGAAGCAGAATCTGGGCTTGGAAGAAGAGGGGCAGAAGCCCCCGTGGGTTTACCGAAGGCGGGACGGGCTTGAGCCCACCTTCGTGGGCTGGTTGCGGGCTGTTTAATTAATATTTATTATTCCTTTTATTTTGTTTCCTAATTTAATTTGTTTCCTAGTAGGATTTATTTAGGACTTCTATTCTTATTAGAATTAGAGGTTTCCTATTTCTTTTTAGTTTCCTAGAATGATTTAATTAAGAGTTCTATTAGAACTAGAGGTTTCCTATTCTATTTAGTTTCCTAGATTAATTTATTTAAGATTCCTATTCTTATTAGACCTAGAGGGTTATTTATACCCCTTGTATGCTTCATTCTTGATAATTTGGGGAATAAAAGTTGGTTTAGCCTTTTGGCTCTGGGCAACGGTATTTATTTATCGTTGATTATCTAGGCAACGGTTCACCCCGTTGATTTTATTTTTCTGTTCTTATCAATTGGTCCGACCTGCCGGATCCCGTCCCGCCGGAATGATGAGATCTATCAGTGAACATTTGTCAGAGATGGTGGCCAAGCAAATTCGGATGAATCAAACCTTAGAGGAGCACGGCGTGCGTCTGGCAGAGATTGCCGCATCCCTGACAGCGCTTACCAAGGCGTTCGTTCCGCCAGTCACGACGGAAACAAGCCCTGACGCGGTTGGCAGCCCCACCGTATTTGCGCCCAGCAACGACAAACAGCCATGCAGCGTCACTTCCTCCTTGACTGCGCTCACAAAGGCTCTCGCGCCGCCAGCGGCGGAGGAGAATTCATCGACGATGGCTTCACTTGACGCGGCAGCAACATACACGTGCGGAACTGGACTGTGCAACACTTCTCACGACGCCGCCCTCGTTTGACGGAGAAGACCCGATCGGTTGGGTTGCTAGGGCTGAGCATCAAATCGAACTGAGCTGTACACCACCGGGAAAGAAGGTGGCAGCCACTGTAGTTGTGATGGAAGGGTCAGGCCTGTATCGGTTGACCTCGTTACGGGCACGAAAGCCGGCCATGTCATGGGATGAGCTTACACAAGCATTGGTGGCTCGTTTTGACTCACGGTTTAAGGGCAATTGCTTTGAACGGCTGTCCGGAGTCAAGCAGACAGGGACTGTGGAGGAGTACATCTCAATTTTTCCTAAAGATACTGGGCAGCCATCGGGAACAAATGTCAGCCGGTTTCCGGATTTCAACCTTGAGGACAAGGTTTTTTCGAAGGGGGATGGAATTGATATGAAGCAGAATCTGGGCTTGGAAGAAGAGGGGCAGAAGCCCCCGTGGGTTTACCGAAGGTGGGACGGGCTTGAGCCCACCTTCGTGGGCTGGTTGCGGGCTGTTTAATTAATATTTATTATTCCTTTTATTTTTTCCTAATTTAATTTGTTTCGTAGTAGGATTTATTTAGGACTTCTATTCTTATTAGAATTAGAGGTTTCCTATTTCTATTAAGTTTCCTAGAATGATTTAATTAGGAGTTCTATTAGAACTAGAGGTTTGCTGTTCTATTTAGTTTCCTAGATTAATTTATTTAGGATTTCTATTCTTATTAGACCTAGAGGGTTATTTATACCCCTTGTATGCTTCATTCTTGATAATTTGGGGAATAAAAGTCGGTTTAGCCTTTTGGTTCTGGGCAACGGTATTTATTTATCGTTGATTATCTAGGCAACGGTTCACCCCGTTGATTTTTTTTTTCTGTTCTTATCATAACACCTCAATAAGTGATTTCTTTAACACCCCAAATTGGAATGTTTTGGAGTGCTGGCTAAATCTTACCCCTCATAGTGCCGTTTACCTCCTTCCCTCCCTGAAAATGGTTCATCAACCAAATCCTAATCATCCGTAGCCCTCATCAGTCATCCCAATTGGAACCATCTTTCTTAGTCTGGCCAACATCTCCTCCATTCTCTATGATTGGACGTACACTCAACTTGCCGGTTTATCTCTTCTTTAACCCAACTCTGATGTAGACAACCATGTGGTCGGGCTTGCCGTCACTGAATTACTCACTCCGGCTACAGTAGTTCTTGTTTAATTTAGTTGGATTGTCCTGATTTCGTATAATTAGTTGCCTTGGCTTATGGTTTCCCTACCTGATTTCAACAAGTTCCCAATTAAACGATGAAGTTTGCTAACTCTGTCAGTTCAATTCAACGCACCTATGGAAGGGGTGTGCCTGGGTGATAAATTCACGAAGTGGGTATAGGAATAAACTTGATAGAAATACGAAATTGGTTTCATGTACCCATTTGGGAAGTGGCAGATTCATTTGAAGGAATTGGAGATTCATGTTATCAACTGATCTTCGTATATGATGTATATGTGTGCAGGAGTATTTCAAGAGCTTAGAATTTTTATTGCTTTTAGGATTTAAATAAGGGCGTTATTGTCAATTTAAATGAAAACACTTCCGTTATTAACACTTCATTTTTTTAACTCTCCCAAACAAGGTAGATTTATATTTTACGCTTACACTTCCCTTCCACTCCGGGCCTTGTCAACACTTACTAACACTCCCGTTACTAACACCTGCCAACACTTCATCCAAACAGGCCGTAAGCCTCCTATATGTGCTGTTCTTAGTAGTGGGCAGATTTTCTACCTTGGCTATGTAGGCAGATTGTAATAGACTAATAATTTCTTGTTAGTATAAATAGGTCCTAACGGTCATTATTGAAACCCATATGCAGCGCTGCATACAAAGCTAAACAATCTTTCTTTTTCCTGTGTTCCATAATGTGAAAGACATTAGAATATACTTTAGAATATACTTTAGAATATTCTTCTATCCTTAGAATATACTTTAGAATATTTTAGGAATATACTCTAGGATATTATTATTGTATAGAATCTTATAGGAATATTCTATCTTTGTAATGTATATTTATAGGGACTTAACCCTCCAATGAAATACACAGAAAATCTTTCCTCCTCTCTTCAATATTATATTTTGTAGTTTATATTTCAACATGGTATCAGAGCCAGGTTCGATCCATGGTGTGGGGCCCCTTATGAAAAATGACGACACGATAAAAACAATTACTGAACCGATAAAAAAAATGAATGATGACACGATCCAGACGAAGTGTCTGGTCGTGAGGAGGGGTGTTAAATGTCCCACACCGGAAAATTGAGAAGCATTAGAGTGCTATATTAAGCTTCGGGCTACTCCTCCTAACAGGTTGACCTTTTAGGATGGAACCCTGGGTCTTAACATGGTATCAGAGCCAATTCCAAACAAAAGACCTAGGCTCATTGAAATACTTTCTGGGTATTGAGGTAACACGGAGTAAGAAAGGCATATTTCTATCTCAGCGTAAATATGTACTTGATTTACTAACTGAAACAGGGAAATTGGGAGCAAAGCCAAACACAACTCCCATGGTTCCCAATGTGCAACTCACTTCAGAAGGCATACCATTCGAAGACCCAGAAAGGTACAGAAGATTGGTTGGAAAGCTTAACTATCTCGCAGTCACTCGTCCAGACATTGCTTACTCTGTGAGCGTAGTGAGTCAATATATGTCATCTCCAACAGTTGATCATTGGAATGCAGTAGAGCATATATTATGTTACTTGAAGGGGACACCAGGACGAGGTATTGTTTACCAAAATCATGATCACATGAGAATAGAATGCTTTGCAGATGCTGATTGGGCTGGATCTAAAGATGATAGGAGATCCACATCTGGCTATTGCGTCTTTGTTGGTGGTAATCTCGTCTCTTGGAAAAGTAAGAAGCAAAATGTGGTTTCTCGTTCGAGTGCTGAATCAGAATATCGGGCTATGGCACAATCGGCATGTGAGATAATCTGGATAAACCATTTGCTGAGTGAAATCGGATTGAAGACACCAATGCCTGCTAAACTCTGGTGTGATAACCAAGCTGCTATACACATTGCCAACAACCCAGTGTTTCATGAGAGAACAAAACATATTGAGGTCGATTGTCACTTTGTTCGAGAAAAGATACAACAAGGATTGATCTCTACAGGATATGTGAAGACTGGAGAGCAACTTGGAGATTTGTTCACTAAAGCATTAAATGGAATTCGTGTTGGTTATTTATGTAACAAGTTGGGCATGATAAATATCTATGCTCCAACTTGAGGGGGAGTGTGAAAGACATTAGAATATACTTTAGAATATACTTTAGAATATTCTTCTATCCTTAGAATATACTTTAGAATATTTTAGGAATATACTCTAGGATATTATTATTGTATAGAATCTTATAGGAATATTCTATCTTTGTAATGTATATTTATAGGGACTTAACCCTCCAATGAAATACACAGAAAATCTTTCCTCCTCTCTTCAATATTATATTTTGTAGTTTATATTTCAACACATAACTTGGGCAGTTGGGCCTTTCTACAAAGGTTCTACTAGCTTCTTAGCCTACATGTATCCTATCCTGGACCCACAGTACACCCATCCATATGGAGAAATATAACATATATGTTTTCTTTTCTTTCAGTAATCATTTCTTTGTGCAGTGTTCGCATTATGTGTTATTATAAATCTTTATTGAATTCAATGCAGATCAATGTTACAATACATGACTGGGATATAATATGGAAAAGTGCAGTTCTTGGCTCAGTGACTGTTCTAGTTGAAAATGAAGGTCCCGCTGGAGCCATTTGGCATCCATTGGATAGTCCATCGGGGCAGGTAACTTTATGTTACTTTTGCTCATTGCATTCAAATCTATGATGCATGGGTGTTCCGCTTTGGTAAAAGCGTTTTGGAGTACGGGAAAACTTTGGGTACATCTGGGTACTGGGTATGCTTGTGTAAAACATGGTTATGGCGCCTGAACGATTTGTTTCGGTTGGGTATGTCTTGGATACAGATGGTTATGGCTTTTTGCTCAGGACATAGTTAAACAACATAGTTCTGAAGGTTTTTCTCTATTTGTATTGTAATGTTTTTTCTTCTTCAATATCCTTTCTCTGTTTCTTTCATTTTGTTTAGTACAATCCCCTTTAGTGCAACTCTGCTTCAATGAACATACAACTTTATTTCCCGTCAGAAGTCTCCATGGTGACCCAGTAATTGACTTTCTTTTAGTTTTTGGTTCATCATGAATTCTTGAGTTTTGCTTTGTCTATATATACAGCAATTTTGGCTTTTTAAGTACTAAAGTTTGTGTGCTTTCTAAGTCATCGTAACAAGTTTAGCTTTTAGTCTTTTAAACTTTATATTGTATATATATTTATACTGCCATTCCTATACCCCATTTTTTCAAAACTTTCATACCATGTATCCATATTCACGGGGCACCTTACCTGTATCCATGCAACTTAGATTGAAGTAGTTCTTTTTGTCTTCAGTTGAGATGTCAATATTTCATTTTATAGTACTTGAGTCATGGCTTATTTGTTTTCCAGGTGTGTCTTCATATCGAGACTATAAGATCCAATGTAAATTCTTTTAGGTAACACAATTGCTCCAGCCTATTCTTTATTCAGATGCTATTGAAACAGCTTGTTTTTTATCGTTTAGATTGCGGCATCTATAAGAACTCCTTTTTAGCAGCATATATATGCTTTTTGCTTGTTATAGTGTATGGTCTCAGAACTAAGAAGTTCTATGTTTAGGTTATTCTCTATAATGGTTTAAGTTTCTTATGATGGTCATAGGAAGACTCCTTATGAATGGAAAAACTAAGGAAAATAACTGATGTGCAATTGAAAAGTTGTAGTCTCTATTAGCAAATGCAATTGATACTTATTGGTTTCAGTTGGCATCTAATGCTGGATTTTGTAGATTGAAGTAGAATCAACAATGGGTTTAACGTAACATGTGAAATGTGTTTAGAAAGTATAAACATATAAACAACTGGATGATTAGTTGTCTTTTGATTTTCTAGAGGTTTGAAGGACTTTGGTGATGCTCATACTCGGAAGAGAATTAATTTGGAAAATGAGGGGCCAACTGTAGTTCACCAGAAGCCAGGACCATTGCAAACAATATTTGAACTCCCTGCATATGAGGTATGTTCTTGCTCTTGAATATATTTATCTTCTTCTTTGTTATAACTTCAGCGAAGTACCTACTTAGAATTATCAATGTTTTCTGCCATCAAGTTGCTCATCTAACACAAAGGACATTCCAGGTTGTTAAACATAGTTACTCCTGTGCACTTGAGAGGTCTTTTTTGTATCACGGGCGCATGTATGTCTCCTCATGGCACATCTGCTTCCACTCAAATGTATTCTCAAAGCAAATGAAGGTTATCACCTTTCCTTATTGTTTAAAGTTACGGTTTCACTTTTGCAAAAAATATTAACAATAATAGCTTCGTTTGATAGCAAGAGAATAAGTTGCGGAGTTTTTTTCGTGCAAAGTATTTTCCTTAAAAATATATATTCCTACAAAATAAGTTGTTCTAACTTATGATTATAGTTTAACTCAATGCTACTATATCTGGGCAAATTTTGAAGTATTTATCCCACATTGGTTTTGTATAAAATAATAATTTGATATATAATGTTTTGCCTACTCGTATAAGGTTTTAATACCTCCCTCCTTCCCTTATAACTTTTTTTTTGGTTGTCCCTAAAACTTTGCCACTTTCCCTTTAAAGCAATGAATTTGTGGTTCCTATTATTTCTCCCTTCTCCACAAACCTCACCCACACAGTTTTTAGTTCATTATTTCCCGTGCAAGTCAAACTTGGCAAAGTTTTGAACGACGGAGGGAGTATAAAATATCAAGTCTTAATATGGTATCAGCGCTAACCCATCATTGTGTGGGCCCCAACAGAAGAATGAAAAATTTCGACGATTATGATGAAACAACATTGGTGAAATCGATGTAAGAAAATTAAAAACAAACAATAATCGCGAGATATAGACAAATGTGTGGTCATGGGGGGATGTTGAAGATATTGTGCCATATTGGCGAAACATAAAGGGAAAAGGGTCAAATAGACCCTTCTACTTAACTTAAGCCCTTCTACTAAAAAACAACATATAAGTACATTTACTTTTTAAATACAATCAATCAAGCCATTTTAACTTGTTATAACAGGTTATTTAAAAATAAATAAATATTATGACTATTGCTAAAAATAGATAAATAATTTAAAAACATTAAATTAAACAAATAAAAATCAGAAAACTGAAAATAAAAAAGTGAAATGTAAAAATATAAAATATTAAATTTAAAAACCTTTCAAATAGATTTAGAATAGGAAAAATTGATAGTAATAATCCCAACTATTGGCGGTCCGCTCATAATAATCCCAACTATTGATTATTACAGAATAATCCCAACTTTAGGGACCTTCCGTCAATAATGGTCCCTATGAATAAATTCTTGTAGTTTCTAAAGTGGATGAGATGAGATATAAGAAGTAATCCCTATAAATAATCTCAACTATTAATTTTTACATTTAATTTCTATTTAAAATTCACTTTTTATAGAGGTAATATATGGTCATGGACCATTATTGGCGGATAGTCGATATAGTTGGGATTATACAAAAATAATCAATAGTTAGGATTATTTTAAGCGGACCGGCAATAGTTGGGATTATTATTTTCAATTTTTCCTTTAGAATATGCAAATAATTTCAAAAAGCAAAAAAATATTGACTGTCATTCTGATTTTTTTCACAATTTCTTTGTATATTTCTTCAAATTTCACATTTTTTTAGAAATTTTTATTATAAATAACCTGCTATTACAAGTCAAAAACTGAACAAATGGCCAAATTGATTAAGTTTTGAAAGTAAGCGTAATAAGATGATACTTTTTTTGTACATGGGTTTAAGTGATGTTTTGGAAATAATACAAGGGCTTATTTGACCCTTTTTCTAAACATAAAATATTAAACTACTATAAAAAATCATTAGTTACTCCTCTCTCTTGTCATGTTAACCTTAGAGGATGAAACACCATATCTTAATGTGGCATCAGATCCAGACATGATTGTTGTTTAAATTGTTTGTTTGACACCCATAATTTAGGGTAGTTTGTTTGGAGTTTTTTGGGCTCATTTATTCACCCTTAAGTTGTCCAGTCTAGTTTGGCCTTATGGGTGTGTTGGAGTATTTGTTTCACACTTGTTTGGTATAAAATAATTAACTAATATATAAGATTTTGAGCTTACCCTTACCCCACCGTAGGTGGAAGCGTATGTGGCACTAGGGTAATGTAGTTGTTGATTTTGAATTTGAGCTACTTTTCCTATTCAATTAACCTTTTACCATAAAATCCTGAGTTTTTAATTGCTACAATAATGGATGATATCATCAGTGGTGTGTCTAACACTTTCAAAAGAGCCTACCTATCAAGCTAGGGGGAATATAATATGATAGAGGCTTGGGCTAGCCCATTAGGGTTAGGTAACTTAACAAATAACAATAGTGGCAGACTGTTAGTGAGCCCCTCCCCTCAGGGTAGAGCATGCATGTTGTGGGATCCTTTCAATGTACCAAAAGAAATCCATGCTTCATGATTAAGCATGTTACAAATATATTTAATCGTTGGTCATATGTGGAATTTACTCAGTGATGTAACTAAACATGATTTTTCTCCTGTGAAATTGCAATAACTACTGTGTGCACTTCCTAGTTCCTCTCAATATACTGGATACTAATTACTAAGTAATAGCTTTGCGGTCCTACGATCACATATTGAATCATTTGTGCAATTTCACCATACCACAATTATTATTGGCATCTATATCTTAACCATATAAGCTTACATGTAACAACTATAACAACCCAAAAATCCAACTCACTGTTTGACATAGTTACCTCGGGTTAATTGACATTACAATACCAAAAAGGTTTGTTAGATATTGCCCCCCCTCGCTTTCTCTCTCTCTCTCTATATATATATATATATATATATAGAGAGAGAGAGAGAGAGAGAGAGATCCTGACAGGAACCTCCGTGCGGACTTGCCCGTTTGGGGGTCTTCCCGGTGAAATTTTTTGATAAAATTTTTCGAGCATGTTCTTCATCAAGTCTAGTTTATCCATACCAAATTTCAGATCAAAATTCGACCGGGAAGACAAGTCAAATAAATTCTTGAAACATATGGCGCATTCTGCGCACATATAATGCGCAGTATGTTTCAAGAATTTATTTGACTGTGTTCCCGATTGAATTTTGTTAGGACCCCAACCTGAACAGAGTAATCCGAGCAACACAAGAGGGAAGAACAATGGCGGAAACGAGAGAGAGAAATAGTATTGATAGTACGTATAACAAAAGAGAGAGAGATACAAAGGCAGTTAGAGGATGCCAGCTCCCAAGTCCCAGTCCTAAGCCCGATAATTCCAACCCCCTATTCTATTCCCAACTCACTCTATTTATTCATTCTCTACTGGGCCAGCCCACCTCTACTTGGTTATAAGGCTTAAACCCTTTATTACACAATATTAAAAGACTTAATAATATTCAGGTCTCTATCATCACTCCCCCTTTGACAACCACCTTGTCCTCAAGGTGGGTCATAGGAGACAATTCTGATGAACAGTTTCTTCTTCTGTTTTGCACCTCTTCCTTCCCAGTATCTTTCCAATTTCAGAACCCTGAACTTCATGAATTGATTCTTCATTGTCCCTTCTTTTATCATATACAAGAGTGAAAGCTGGAGATAAACACTCCAAAGAATCACGTTGTCAAAGATAATTGTTCCACTGATACTTGATTCTGAATTGATCCCTTCCTTCAATTCCTTCTCTTTGTCAGCTTTGCCTTCTTTCAGAATGTTCTCCAACCCTTCAAGGCCCACAATAGCAATTCTTGGATCAGTACATAACGCAATTTCACAGAGCTGTCCGCCCTGACCGAAGTTTGACACAGTCCATGTCGCATTTCCCCACATCGAAAGCTTTGAACACTCAGTCCGCTGATCAAAGTACTGCAATACCTGAAGGGGCAGATTTTCAGCCTGCATTTTGTGTGTCCCCAAGCTCTCCGGATTATCAGAATCGCAAACCATTGCTACATACAACGCAGTTGGGCAACTTCGGTTAAACACATATTCTCCACCCCAAACACCGCGCCCACAATTCACTGTCGCAGTTCCCCTTATACCCTTGAACTTCCCAACTAAGATGCCCATACTTCTTAGAAACTGGGCTTTCATGTCATCTGTGTTTTTCCTTGAATCACTGATCTGTTGGGCATCATAACACCCATATAAATGAATCATAATTTCATATGGCAGAGGTCCAAACCTTGCTTCATATAAGGTGGTTTGAATCTGCATCAACTCGGGCCTCTCAAGTTGTCGCATGTTGAATCTCGGAATGCGTTTTGGGACTGGCTGCTCCTGTGTTCCCTTTTCCTGCCTCGCTCTCAACGATGTTCCAGCCCATCTCAGTCCGGGATTAAAGGATTCCGAAATGGCAGAAGGTATCAAACTGTAGCTGTAGCCCTTAACTGTCATCCCCAATTGCCTTGTGAAGTTGCCCCAGAATAATACAACACCTTCACCCCTTCTGGCTAGGTTATGACTGTCAACCTTTCCAACATATTTCTCCATCCCACTTGTATTAGTAAGTGTGTGAACATTGCCATCCAATTCCCAATCCTCCTCTCTTGTCCTGAGTATCTTAACCCCTTGACCCGCAATTGTCATATGAAACCTATAGTCAGAATCTGCACCCAAAGAAGCTTGGCCCTGTCCTTCAATATCATTCACCTTCTTCATTCTCCATCTGCTGTAAGCAAGTTGTAGATCACTGTCACCCCTTTCCAGTAATATATCTGTTTTCCCAAATTTCAGCAAAGAGAAATTCTGAAAGATCATCTCACTTTGCACAGAAGCTGGCCACCACAAGACATCTCCAATTAAAATTACAAAGTCAGCTTCAGCATCCATTTTGACTATGGATTTGGTTAGCTCTTCCCTATCCACACACTCAGAAACCTTATCTGTTACAGCAATAATCTCTTCACGGTGATCGGACTGATTCCATTCTATCATCATTCCAGGATCAAAACAAGCAAGGGGTCCATCCTTATCAGCAAACTGGGGAGGTTTTAATTCTGCTTGTCCAGTGTGAATTAAGAGTTCCTTCTGAAAAATTTGTGTAAATCTAGCTGCACGTTTATCATAACCTTGAGTTCTGTCCACCGGAAGCTCAGTAATGACTGGAACTCTCCTACTAGTATGTGCAGTTGAAAATGTCATACCCATAAAGTTTTCAGAGCTCATCTGGTTCTCCAATTCAGTCGACGTATTTGAACCGGCGAAGTTATAGTCAGTAGATTCATCTTCCAAGACTGTCCAGGACTGAGTCACTACAAAAGATTTCTCCACTGGGCCATCATCATCATCAATGAATGTAACCTCAGATGGAAGTTGCCGCTGAATGACTGCCTCCTGCCGAACTGATGTAACCTGCAAACTCAGCGAATCTGATAGCGGTGAACATGTCGACTGCGAACTGCGAAGACCTTCTCGCGATGATGATTGTTGTGGTACGAGTAGAGAGGGCGAACTGGAAGAAACAGTTCGCGCTTGAGATGAGACTCGCAAACTCAGCGAACTGGACTCTTGTGCTCGCGACGATGCTGACGGACTGCGAGAAGAAATTTGCGACCTATCCTGCGAACTCACAGAAACGGTTCGCGACTTCGAACGGTGAGACAAAGTTCTCGACCTACCTGCAGAGGATCTGGAGTCGCGGCTGGCATTCCGCGCACTTGTTTTGGAGGTTTTTGATCGACCGCTAGAGTGATCAAGCTCCTTCATAATCAACTCTCGTATCTCATTGTAATTGCGCTTGGCCTCCTCACTACTGATTCTGGCCTCTTCCCGCTGCCTCTCATACTCGCGCTCCATTTCTGCGGACCACCTTGCCAACTCGCGCTTCATGTATGCGGATCGTCTCGCCAAATCGCGCTCCAATTTTTCCAATCGTCCTTCCATGGCTCTGATACCAATGTTAGGACCCCAACCTGAACAGAGTAATCCGAGCAACACAAGAGGGAAGAACAATGGCGGAAACGAGAGAGAGAAATAGTATTGATAGTACGTATAACAAAAGAGAGAGAGATACAAAGGCAGTTAGAGGATGCCAGCTCCCAAGTCCCAGTCCTAAGCCCGATAATTCCAACCCCCTATTCTATTCCCAACTCACTCTATTTATTCATTCTCTACTGGGCCAGCCCACCTCTACTTGGTTATAAGGCTTAAACCCTTTATTACACAATATTAAAAGACTTAATAATATTCAGGTCTCTATCAAATTTTGAGCTGAAATTTGGTATGAATAAACTAGACTTGATGAAGAACATGCTCAAAAAAATTCATGAAAATTTTCCACCGGGAAGGCCCTCAAACGGGCAAGTCCGCACGGTTCTGCCCGTCAGACGCGCCTGACCAGAAAAGTACTCTCTCTCTCTCTATCTATCTATCTATATATATATGTATATATATATATGTATATATATATATGTATATATATATGTATATACACAAATGTTCCTGTCAGGTATACCTGACAGGAACCGCCGTCCGGCCTCCTCCTTTTGGGGGCCTTCCCGGTGGTATTTTTTGCTCAAATTTTTTGTGTATGTTCCTCATCAAGTCTAGTTCATCCATACCAAATTTCAGCAAAAAATTCAATCGGGAAGGTCGTCAAATGATTTTTGCAAGTGAACTGGTCCGGAAAATACATATTCCGGACCAGTTCACTTGCAAAAATCATTTGACGACCTTCCCGATTGAATTTTTTGCTGAAATTTGGTATGGATGAACTAGACTTGATGAGGAACATACACAAAAAATTTGAGCAAAAAATACCACCGGGAAGGCCCCCAAAAGGAGGAGGCCGGACGGCGGCTCCGGTCAGGTCGGAAGATTACTCTATGTATATATATATATATACATATATATATATATATACATATATATATATATATACATATATATATATATATATACATATATATACATATATATATATATACATATATATATACACACACACACACACACACACACACACACACACACATATATATATATATATATAAACAACGCAGTTTTCGAAGGGAATTTTTTTGACTGCCTTCCCGATTGAATTTTTAGCTGAAATTTGGTATGGATAAACTAGACTTAATGATATATATGTATATATATATAGAGTGCTCTTCATGTCAGGCCGGCCTGACGGGATGCCCCGTCCGGCCGAGCCCGTTTGGGCACCTTCCCGGTGGAATTTTTTGATGAAATTTTTTGAGCATGTTCCTCGTCAAGTCTAGTTTGTCCATACCAAATTTCAGCTCAAAATTCAATCGGGAAGGTTGTCAAATGATTTTTGCAAGTTAACTGGTCCGGAATATGTATTTTCCGGACCAGTTAAGTTGCAAAAATCATTTGACGACCTTCCCGATCAAATTTTGAGCTGAAATTTGGTATGGACAAACTAGACTTGACGAGGAACATGCTCAAAAAATTTCATCAAAAAATTCCACCAGGAAGGTGCCCAAACGGGTTCGGCCGGACGGGGCAGCCCGTCAGACCGGCCTGACATGAAGTTTTCTCTATATATATATATATATATATATATATATATATATAGAGGGCTGTTCCTGTACATATGGATGTACGGGAGACTCCGTACGGACAAAGCCATCAGAGGCCCTTCCCGGTGGAATTTTTTGATGAATTTTTTTTAGCATGTTCTTCATCAAGTCTAGTTTATCCATACCAAATTTCAGCTCAAAATTCAATCGGGAAGACAATCAAACAAATTCTTGAAATATACTGCACATTATATGTGCACAGAATGCTCCATACATTTCAAGAATTTATTTGACTGCCTTCCCAGTCGAATTTTGAGCTAAAATTTGGTATGGATAAACTAGACTTGATGAAGAACATGCTCAAAAAATTTAACCAAAAAATTCCACCGGGAAGGGCCTCTGATGGCTTTGTCCGTACGGAGCCTCCCGTACATCCATATGTACATGATCATTCCTCTCTCTCTCTCTCTCTCTATATATATATATATAGCACAGTTTTCTTATGGAATTTTTTTGACTGTCTTCCCAATTTCATATTTAGCTGAAATTTGGTATGGATATTGGATAAATTAGACTTGATGAGGAACATGCTAAAAAAATTCCACCGGAAAGGGCCCCAAATGGCCTCGGCCTGACAGCGCTTCCCTAAAATGGTGCACCGCTGAAAGTCTGAAACTAGGGCGTTGGGTTGCCTCCCTCAAGGGGTGCAACAGCGCAACACGGGCCTGGTTTGCTTTTATACCATAACCATAATTCGGCCGAGGTCACTCCAGGGGACCTTAATGTTCATGGCCTAACCATATTAAATATTGAATCCAATCTATTAGCTAATCTAACCGAAGGCCACGCCTACTTATACCACTTTAATCTTTCAATGTAGGATTTTCAACATAACCTATTCTAATTTGTGTTTGCATTTTATTGGTTTCAGGTAGTCATCCCGTTCGGTGAAATAGATGAGGTATGTAGTTCCTCTCACATTTTGTTATGATCTTTTCTATTCACTTAATGAGTTTCTATGTTAATGGCTTTTGCATTTTATGTCTCTTTACCAACTTTATTTTGCATTCCAGATTAGGAGGAGTCAACATGCGTTTATTAACCCTGCTATCACAATTATTCTCCGTGTGGGAGCGGGCGGCCATGGTGTGCCACCTTTAGGAAATCCAGATGGTTAGTAGTTTCTTACAAGAAATAATTCCTTTGCAACAATAGCGTGATGTTCTTTCTTTAACCATTGACATTTACTAAAAAAGGATATAACTTGTATATCATTCTCATTTCTCTGTTTGCAAATTCTTTTTTACATATGGTAAATATTCTCTATTTTCACAAGATTTTTATTCTTATATGGATCTACGAGTTTGATTAAGATATGGTCTAAAATCATAAGGTTCTAATGTTCTATACTTCTATACTGTTTGAGATGCCAGAGGATTACTGATAGGTAACACTATCCAATCACAGAATTATAACAGAAATCAACAATAGAGAAACAAGAAATCTGTTATTGATATCAAAGGAGATAAACCGTATACAAGTTCCCAAAGAAAGAGATAAAACTCTAACTTCCCAGCCAAGACACTTGTCTAGAAACAGCCTGCCTTCCCACTGCAGTGTTTATTCTATTTATAGTATTCACAACGGAATGGTAGTTATTAGTTTTCAACAGAACAACTAATAACTAACTACTAGTCTATTTTCTAGGCCTTCGTACATAAACTTGCCCATAGAATCTGTCATCTCCATTTAGACTAGTGGGGTCCCTAACAATACCCCCCCCTGAAACACTCAACTTGCCCTCAAGTTGAAAATTAGGGAATTGTTCTTGGATCGTTTGTAATTCCTCCCATGAGTCCTCAAAGTCAGGAAGCTTCTCCCAATGAATAAGGATCTCCTGCTTCCCTTCTTTATTCACCCGGCTGCCTCTTACTTCTGCAGGCCTCACTTGCAACTCACAATCTTCTGTGAGACAATCTGGGAGGTTCTGATAAGCCACTGTAGGTTTCAGCACCTTCTTAAGCAAAGAAATATGAAATACCGGATGTACTCTACACCCTTCAGGTAGTTGTAGTTTAAAAGCTACAGGATTTATCTGTTCAACAATCTCATAGGGCCCATAAAACCTTGGACTAAGTTTTTGATTGATTCTCTTAGCTAAACTCCTCATCTTGTAGGGTTGTATTTTCAGAAATACTCTATCCCCAACTGCTAGAGTCACCTCCCTTCTGTGCTTATCAGCTTGTTGTTTCATTAAGTTCTGAGCTTTGGCCAAATTTTCTTTTAATTCTTTCAGAACCTGATTCCTTTCAGCTGTTAATTTTGCCACTTCATCTACTGCAGTCAAAGAGACATCACCTCTGATTAGAGTAGGAGGTTCTTGTCCAAACAAAGCCTTATAGGGTGTACACTTCAAAGAACTGTGATAATTTGTGTTAAACCAGTACTCAGCCCATGGTAACCACTTCACCCACTGTTTAGGAGCATTACCAGTCAAACACCTCAGGTAGGTCTCCAAGCACCTGTTTACAACTTCAGTTTGCCCATCACTTTGGGGGTGATATGCAGTACTATACTTCAGTTTGGTACCAGCCAATTTGAATAATTCAGACCAAAATGAACTCAAGAAAATGCTATCTCTATCACTGACAATTGACTTTGGGAACCCATGAATTCTTACAACCTCCTGCACAAACACTTCAGCCACTCCCTTAGCATTAAAAGGATGAGTTAAGGGTATGAAGTGCGCAAACTTAGTCAGTCTATCCACCACAACTAGGATAGTATCCTTGCCCTGAGATTTAGGTAAGCCCCCCACAAAATCCATACTTATATCAGCCCAAACCTGCTCAGGTATTGGTAGTGGTTGCAGCAGCCCTGCAGGTTTCAAAGCTTGGTATTTATTTCTTTGACATACCTCACATCCTTGGACATAGCTTTGAATATCTTTTTTCATTCCTATCCAGTAAAACATGCTGGTTATCCTTTTCATTGTCCTAAAATAGCCAGCATGACCTCCTATAGCAGAATCATGATATTCTTGTAAGATTGCACTCTTCCTGTTAGATTCTCTTGGTAACATCAACCTGCCCTTGTAGTAGATTAACCCCCCTTTCACTTTGTAGTCCCCAAACTTGTCTGGCTGTGCTAACACTTTCTGAATTAACTCCCCACATTTTGGATCTGCCACCAATTCTTCCACTAGCCCTTTCCACTCCTGGCAGTATATGGTAGATAAGGCTGAGTAATTACCTTTTCTAGATAAGGCATCTGCTGCTTTGTTCTCAATTCCCGGCTTGTATTTTATAGTAAAGTTGTATCCCATGAGTTTAGATATCCATCTTTGTTGGTCTTCTCCCATAACTTTCTGCTCGGTTAGATGTTTAAGACTTTTCTGATCTGTATGCACTTCAAACACCCTGCCAAGCAAATAAGGCCTCCACCTCTGTATTGCAAAAACAATTGCCATCAATTCCTTCTCGTAGATGGATTTTGTAAGATGTTTAGGTGAAAGCTGTTTACTCATATACGCAATGGGGCCACCTTCCTGCATAAGAACAGCCCCAAGACCCTTCCCTGATGCGTCGGTCTCTATAACAAATAATTTGTTGAAGTCTGGCATCCTGAGAACTGGAACTGAGACCATAGCACTTTTCAGATCATTAAAAGCTTTTGTAGCCACCTCACTCCACTTAAAACAATCTTTCTTTAACAAACAAGTCAGAGGAGCAGCAATACTGCTGTAATTTTTCACAAACCTCCTATAGTAGCCAGTAAGACCTAGAAATCCCCTGAGTTCCTTCAGATCTTTAGGTGTGTCCCAATTCTTCATAGCTAGGATTTTCTCAGGGTCAGCTGCCACCCCTGATGCAGATATTATATGACCCAAATATCCTAGCTGTTCTTGCCCAAATGAGCATTTCTTGAGGTTCGCCACTAGCTGATTTCTCCTTAGAGCCTCCAGAACCAATCCTAAATGTTGTTTATGATCATCTCTAGTCTGGCTATACACTAGAATGTCGTCAAAGAAGACAAGAGCAAATCTTCTTAGAAATGGCCTCAAAACATCATTCATGAGTGACTGGAATGTTGAAGGAGCGTTAGTCAGCCCAAAAGGCATAACTAAATATTCGTAATGACCCTCATGGGTCCTGAAGGCTGTTTTATGGATATCACTGGTTCTCATCCTTATCTGATGGTAACCTGACTTGAGATCCAATTTAGAAAAAATCCTGGCACCACCCAACTCATCCAGTAATTCCTCAATGACGGGAATAGGGAACTTATCAGGTATAGTAACCTTATTTAGTGCCCTATAGTCTCCACAGAACCTCCATCCTCCATCCTTTTTCTTAGCCAGTAGGATGGGACTACTATAAGGGCTGTTACTATGCCTAATAATCCCAGATTTCAGCATTTCATCAACAATTTTCTCTATTTCATTTTTCTGATCAAAGGAATATCTGTAGGGTCTGAGGTTTGGAATACTAGCACCCTCCTTTATATTTATAGCATGGTCACATTTTCTTTCAGGTGGAAACTTGAGTGTAGATGAAAAAACTTCAGAAAATTCAGCTATTACCTGCTGCCATATTTCTTCCTTCTCCTTCTGTATGTCTTGATTCTGATTCTTTACTTCACATGCTAGAAGATATCCTCCACCATACTGTTGTATAATGTGGGCCATAGATTTCACAGATACCTCCATCTGATTTGAATTTGTGTCTCCTCTGATTATGTATTTTGCTTCTTGCTGCTTCCATTTAATGATCTGATTTCTGAAGTTCACCTTCATATTTCCTAGCTCAGTCAGCCATTGCATCCCCAGTACTACATCAGTCCCACCTAATTTTAACAGGTAATAGGTCTGCAAAATGGTTACCCCTTGAATCAACAACTCCACCACATTGCATCTTCCCCAGTTAGGTATACAGTCTCCATTCCCAATCTGTACCCTATATCCTTGAATAGGATCATAAGGAATTTTCCATTCCTCCACTAACTCCTGAGATAAGAAGTTGTGAGTTGCCCCACTGTCAATCAGAATGTTCACCCATCTCTCACCTCCAGGCCATTTCATTCTTCCCTTAACCTTGAATGTCTTCATGGAGGGTATTCCTTCTCTACTTAGTATGGAAAGCTGCATGGTTTTGTGGTCCAAGTGAACTGAATTTGTTGTCTTATCCTCTTCAGAACCTGCAGATTCAAAGTCAGAAGCCTCTTCTCCTTCAGAGTGTTCTACCAAGATCATCTTGAAATTCTTCATTTTACATACATGGCCCCTTCCCCAATTATCTCCGCACTTGAAACACAGCCCTTTTTTACTTCTATCAATCAGCTCTTCTTGAGATAGTCTAGGGCCACTCCTTCTGATAGGAATATCTTTAACCTCCTGATTCATCTTGTTATCATTCACCACCTTAGTAGCATCATTAGTTCTGCCCTGGTAACTTTTCCATTTACTACTTTCATTCCAGTTTTGACTTCTGCTTTGTATCTTCTTCTTCCCTTCATCCTTCATCTTCATCAAACTGATTTCATTGTTCTTATTTTCTATCAAGGTAGCGGTATCCATGACTCTTGCCAAGGTTGGTGTAGAATGCAACTTCAATTCAGCTTTCACATCTCTTTTTAGCCCATTCAAAAACACTCCTCTCAATACCTCATCAGTCAGGTGTCCTTGAGATGCCATAGCTGCTTCAAACATAGCCCTGTACTCCTTCACGGTTCCTTTTTGCTTCATACTAAACAGTGGTCCCAGAGGATTTTCTACCAAATCTGGCTGAAATCGTTTGGTCATATCCTTGGTAAAGTTCTCCCAGGTCTGATGCCTCGCCTGTCCTTCCCACCACTGAAACCAGCTAAGGGCCTGGTCTTCTAGGGCAACCACCGCCACATCGATCTTATGTTCTTCCTCGGTTCTATTTAATCGGAAATATCTATTCATCCTTACCAGCCAACCGTACACATCTTCTCCGTTAAAAATTGGTAAATCCAATTTCCTCCCAACCGGATAGTGATAGCGATGATTCCTGTCAGGTTCGCGATGATGATGCGATGTAGAATGGACCGATTGATTGTCTGAATCTTCTGAGCTACCGCTGTCCTTCGTGTGTTTATGCCTCGGTGAGCGATGCGATGAAGTCGAATGATGAGAACGACTCCTCGATCGATCAGAATTTCTCTTCTGTAATTCCGCAAATCCCGCTTGCATCGCCGCCATACTGGCTTGCATTTCTCTCATACTCCGTTCCAATCCTTCTTGCAATTCCCGCTGACTCTTCTCCAATTCAGTGACTCGTCCTTCCATCTTCGCACGAGTGATTCTCATCCAACGGATCTACCGCTCTGATACCAAATGATAGGTAACACTATCCAATCACAGAATTATAACAGAAATCAACAATAGAGAAACAAGAAATCTGTTATTGATATCAAAGGAGATAAACCGTATACAAGTTCCCAAAGAAAGAGATAAAACTCTAACTTCCCAGCCAAGACACTTGTCTAGAAACAGCCTGCCTTCCCACTGCAGTGTTTATTCTATTTATAGTATTCACAACGGAATGGTAGTTATTAGTTTTCAACAGAACAACTAATAACTAACTACTAGTCTATTTTCTAGGCCTTCGTACATAAACTTGCCCATAGAATCTGTCATCTCCATTTAGACTAGTGGGGTCCCTAACAATTACATGTCACCTCCCATATTTGTATTATGCTCAACACTTCAACAAGACTACTCTTATAACTCTTAACTTGCAACTTAAAGTTTTTGAAAGCATAATACATGTGTAGAAGCAATCGTCTAAACGTGATTGGCTAACCTTTGATTTCTAAACCTAGCATTTTACTTTCTGTACTTTCACACTATCCTCACTGGTGCACATGAACGCATATCACATGCCCCATGCTTCGCACAAATCTTCATTACATAACTTGATACTGAACAACAGACTCCTTAAACTGAACTTGACCGCAACAACTTATGCCCTGCTTATTGTAACTGTAAGTAGAGCAGTGCGGCAAAAAGTTAATTATGGTGGTTAGTTCAGTAACTGGAATATGAGGAAAAGAAACTGCAAATTTTATATTTGTTTTATAAACTGACTGTTGCAATGTTGTTGAAATGAATAAAGCTATTTTATAGAAGATGTTTATTTACAAAATCTACAAACTAGAAAAGAATATTGAGTTAAAAATCTAAAATATAAAAACTAGAAACTTTAAAAGTGCAAAAGAAAACACATCAAACTCACCTCACATGAGGTAAAGGTCATCTGTGAGTTGAGGCCAAAAGTACGATATAAGATTCACCTCTCACCAGGAAAGTAAAAAATAGCGCTTGTTACAACTTTGCAGCTGGTGTTTAAAAAACTCACCATATTAAGGCTTGTTTTTTCCCATCAAGGCACCGGACTGGTATGCTTAAGGGAGCCTTAAAAGTTGAAGTCTAACAAATGAACACTTAATTTTATATTTATTTATTTAAATATTTATTTCCCTTATTACAATTTTCACCTCCTTTCTCATTTCTTCTTTTCTTTGTTACTGTATTTTCTCCTACCAAATCCGGATAGCAACCCATCAGAAATATCCAGAAAACACAGTCTTGTTTACTGGAGGGAGACGAACCCGATCAGTCATAGTTATCGTATTCCGGATCCATGGTCTCATTTGCCCTGATTTTGTGGTCCAATATTTCTGCATTTATTTGATCAAACTGACTACTTTCTAAATATTTTTGTTTCTACATTCTAGATGTTTAGGTCATTGGAGAGTATTGGTTAGCATATTTGCTAGTGAATTATGGAGTGGCTACTCATACATACACATTCTTAGTGGGAGACTGGGAGTGGACATTTAAATCTCTTGCCTTTTTGTTTGGTCCCTCTTTTTTCTAGAATGTTGTTTTCTTATTTGAAGTAGCTATTGTATTGATAGGAGGTTCATTACAGCATAGCACATCATAGTTTCTGCTTTTATGCTATTCATATCCTTCCCAATGAATCAATTACTTGTTCTATTTTCAGGTAGGGTAAGGTATAAATTTGCTTCATTTTGGAACAGAAACCATGCACTGCGGGGTTTGCAGCGTGCAACAAAAGATTATCATTCAATGTTAGAAGCTGAGAAGAAGGTTTGACTTAGAGATACTGATTATTCTTTTTACACGTGAGCGCATGCGCATGTGTGTATGTTTAGATACCAACACGTGTGATGGACTCTTTAAGTGTATATGTTGCTTTGTTTGGATGGGCTTTGCATGCTACTTCTGTGAATTATATACCATAACAAACTGTTCTGATTTGTTCAGTCTTCTTTTTACACAGGAGAGGGAACATTCAGCACTACGTGCACACAGCAGCTCTATCAAGGGTGGTAATCAATTAGCTGAGAGTCCAAAGGCAAGTGTGCCGAAGGCACATAAGTTCCAACCATTTGTAAAAGAGGAAGTGCTTACTGGTATATATAATGTATGTCTTATATTCGAATCCATTCTTCTATTACTGAGAACGGTGTTCTTTTTTCCTCTAGGACAGAGAGCTATTATCCTTTTTTTACTCCGTAATAACAAAAACAACAGGTTCTTTCCGTTATAATGAATTTTGGAAGAAAATGTTAGGATGTTTTCCCATGCAACGCTGAGCAATACTTTGAAATACTTTTGAGCGATGGTTCAAATTTCACACAAGAATATCGTGCAGCAAGAAAGGATTCAAGTCTCACAGTAAGTTTCAACAATTTAAATAAGATGTATTTGATACCTGTTCAGTGAAGTAAATTAGGCACTTTCCTCGGTTAACATCTGGAAGTTTGCATTATGTTTATCCCTTGACAATATTATTGAGTATTTGAAGTAATGAAATGTAAGCTTAATATAAATACTAAGGCTATTCATGTGGCTTTGTATCTCTTATTAAGATTGGTCAATGGCATTCTGCTGACGAATATGATGGTGAAGTTAGAGAACTTAAATTCAGGTCTCTTTGCAACAGTCCAATGTGCCCACCAGATACAGCCATGACAGAATATCAGCATGCTGTTCTTTCTTCTGATAAAAGAAAGCTGGTAATCATCATCATATTCTATTCATGAAGAATCAAACAATCAATAATACTGTGATTTTTCTTTCAATTTCATTTTTGCATCATTAGTTTTTCTGTTTTTCTTACCCCAGGTGTTTGAGACTGTACAGCAGGCACTTGATGTCCCATTTGGATCCTATTTTGAGGTGTGTGCTAGGACTTCTTATTCTTTATTTTGCTCAAAATTACATTTTATTTAAGCTATCTTAATTTACTTCTTCATCTGTCGTAAATTTTCTACATAGAAAAGTGGCAAAAAAGATTAAGAAAGTTGAAATTATGTTATTGATTTTAAGAAACATATGTTGAAAGAGAGAGAGTATAAATAAATATATGTAGGGTTTGGGGAGAGTGAGATGTACACAAACCTTACCTTTATTCCTCGCAGTAGAGAAACTGTTTCAGTGAAGACTCTGGTTAAAAGAATAATATTTACTCCGTACAATGTTGGAAAACTTGCAATTTTTAAAGATTTTAATAAAAACTTTGGAGCAACGATGTGAAAAGAATATGTGGACAGTAAAGGTAAATCAATAAAAGCATGAAAACCATAAATGCATCCAACAACACCAGAAGGATAATACTGTGAAGTAGGTCAGCAAGTTAGCAGATAACAAAGTGAGCAAATACCAGATAAGTCTACACAGCTCACATCTAACCTTAACCCCAACAATGGTTGATCTTATAACCTACAAGGATTTGCTACCCTAAAGTCCTAAACCAGTATACCAACAAATCCAACAAACCCAGTGACTTTCCATAGGGCCTGGGTCACCCAGGCCAGAGAGGGTCGTATGAAAGGGTCACGATTTAGACTACCATGCGTGAACGTATATAAGGCTGAAGGGGGAATTTATAAGGCATAAGACCAACTTTAGTATACGGCTCAAAATGTTGGGAGATAAAAAATGATTGATTAAAGATCTGTATGGCTGAGAGATACGTATCATAAAATGGATGTCTCATAAGACTAGAAACATGGAGAATCCTGAGTGGCTTCATTCTCCCTGAGTCCCTTCACTGTTACTTTTTTGTTGCTGGAATTGAATAAGTTTCAATCATATCCTTGAACCAAGACATTCACCGTAAAAGTGGAAATATAATATATGCCGTTTGTAAAAACATGCCGTTCTCATCATGAATTTCTGATTCCTCAATATGTTTATTATACATTTGAATCTTTGTGGTTTTTATTAGTGTGAAATGCTTCACAACTTTCTGGCTTCTCACATTTGTCAATAATTCAATAGCTGCTCTACTGGAAGAGTTATGTTAAATAATTTGCCTTTTGTCAGCCCTTTGCCTCCTTGGTATGAGTGGATTTACTTTGATAATTTATGGTTCCTTTCTATAACAAACCTTATTTATTGTAGCTCACTCATGCAGTTTGATTTAACTGAGGTGATTTTCATTGGCGATTTAGACGCCTGAACTGTAACTCCCTATATGTGATTAAATATAGAAATGGGTTGTTGAACTTGATTGCTGATGGTGTTTCATTATCTTCAGATTCATTGTAGGTGGTCGTTGGAAACTATTTCTGAATCCTCCTGCTCCGTGGTTATAACCGCTGGTAAAGCTTATACTTTATGTAGACTAGATTTTGTTTTTCCAACTTAATTGAATTCATCCCATTTGAAGGGGAGTCTTGGTGCACCGGTTAAGGTGTTGCTGTGTAACCAAAAGGTCACGGATAAAGTCTTGGGAGCAGCCTCTGGTCAAAATTTGATAGGGGAAGGCTTGCCCCTCATACACCCTTGTGGTGGGACCCTTCCCCGGACCCTCGCCTTGCGTGGATGTCTTCTTGCACTGGGCTACCCTTTTTCTATTGAATTAATCCCATTTTCTGTGTATGATGCTTGAGTTCTCAAGTACATGCATCTTGTAGGTTTGTTTGTTTCAGAATTGCTCAAAATAGGATCAAAACATAGACAAAATTTTAAAAATAGGGCTAAGTATGTTTTATTAAAAGAATAAGTTAGACATGGGGTTCTAGTAAGAAGTCATCTTAAAATGATAACTTTTAATCACAATTTTCATATTATTCAATCATTGATTGGGATGGACATGGGGTCCTTTCACTCCTTTGTGTAATTATTCAAAATTAAAATGAGCTTAATTGTAGTAACATCGTGTTATTACAAAAATGTCACCTTGTTGATTCTAGCCCTTGATTTGAAATAATCCCATTTTCTGTGTATGATGCTTGAGTTCTCAAGTACATGCAATATTGTTTGTGGCCGTAAATTGTATGCCCTTTTTAAAATGAGATTAGAAGTTCTCATTTTAAAAAGGGGTTCTCATTAGAACCCTCCCCATAAAATATAATGTCTCATAAGTTCTCATTTTCATAGTATGTCTCATTGGAACAACATAGATCAAAGTCATCAAACCATTGTGGCCGTAACATTTGGTGCCCCCCCCCTCCAAACAGAAAGGCCAGATATAAATTTGCCAGTGCAGTTTGATTCAAAATGCTAATCAATACTCCCTCCGTCCCAGATAATTCTCTTGGAGCCCGTTTGGAAATGTGTGGTTGTAATTGAGTAAGAAAAAGGTAAATGAATGGTAGCCACACAAACCTTTCCAAAAAGGGAAATGAGAAGAATTTTTTGAGACAACCCAAAAAGGAAAGTGGGAAGAATTTTTTGGGACGGAGGGAGTATATTTTATAGTTCCCCATTTCCTATGATCAATGACAGAACTAAAAAACAATCCCGCATCAAATTATATTTTACCTTCACTCAGTCACCTCAATATATTTTTAATAGGGAAAATAACTTTAAATAATACCAACTATCTTCAATGAACCAATAATAATACATACTTTAGAAATAACTTTTAATAATACCAACTATCTCAATGTGAACCAAAAGTAAAATAGAGACACTTTTCTATAAAAAATCCAGCCATTTAATACATCAAATGCTAAGATCAAATCATCAAATATCATCAAATAATTGATATTTCAAAATACGGTCACTTATTTGATATTTTGGTATTAGTTTTTGATGAATTGAATAAATGATTTTTTAGTGAAAATTTGCTATATATAACTTTTGATAGATATTCAAATAGTTGGTATTATTAAAAGTTATTTCTAAAGTTGGTATTATTCTTGGTTCATGGAAGATAGTTGGTATTATTTAAAGTTATTTTCCCTTTTTAATAAAGTTAAAAGCATGTTTTTGTTGTGACTTTTATTTAACAAGCAAGTAACTCTTCCACGATCTTATTATTTGAAATAGGTGTACATTTTAAGAAATGGTGTGTTATGCAATCTAAAATCAAGACTGGTGCAATCAGTGAGGTATGTCCTGGATATCTGTTTTCCCCCTATTATTGAAGTACTATTCAATTATTATGAAGATATATCCATTTTGTTCCCTTGCTCTTTTCACTTTTCCAGTATAAAAAGGAAGTGGAGTTAATTCTAGATGTGGCTCGTTCATATATCAACACTCCCAAAAGTTCTGCAGTGGAGAACAATACTTCAGCATCTTCACCACCAATTACTGAGTAGTTTTGACAAGTTCAAATATACATACACACACACACACACACGGAAAGAGCTACGCACATTTTAATTTGTTGTAATTTATTGTTCTCTTTGAATCCATAGTGGTTTGTATGTTAGGCACGTCCCTAAACAGTAACAGCTGCTTGACCTTATGGTGATCCTTTTCATTTATCCTTTTATGTTTTACATACTCTAGTAGAGAGAAGCGTCACCCATGTTTTTTTATTTTAATGTCGAGCTATTCAACAGTTTTTGTTTGATTCTCAGTATACTATCCTTTCAAATATAAGGACAAAATACAATTTTGGTCGTGTAACTAACTATTGGTATTATACACTTTTTTTTCCTGTCTAATTATTACTTATTAACCAATTGCGGAGTGTTTAGGTTTCTATTTATCCGATTCAAAATAGCACATTACGTGCCACAATTATTTAATGAATGATGACTAGCTGACTATGGATGGTCATGCCGTCATGGTCTGGGTTTGGTTCAGTTATGGAATATGGATCAAACGGTTGCACCATGCTCGTCCAAAATGGAAGCTTACCAGGAAATTTGTAACTGGAATTGGGTGAAGCAGGTCCAGGTCCAGACTGTCCAGTTTACCGAATTTGGATGGGTTTTAGCCAACAAAAAAACATTTCAAATTTGGTCCGCCATAGTTCCCTTTTGGAGGAGTGCACTTGTTTTCACTTTTCAGTCGAATCTAAAAACTGGCGTATTACTAAAAAATTGGCCAGTCAATTTATAGCTCATTATTAAGCGTACATAAAAGAGAATCGCATCAGTCTTTTATGTAAAGTTGCAACAAGAAAAGAAGACAGATGGGCGTCACGAATCGACTAATCGAATATGGATACAATTTTTTGTGATATATGCCTGGCTTGTCAATACTAGCACCAATAATTTGTACAGTTGTGGATCAAATTATAAATATGATTGGTGTTGGTGTTTCCAAGTTGACTGCACTCGTTTGATAGCATTGGAACATGTCGAGTCATTGAAATTGATGAATTCTAACTGAATATATTTTAAACATATTTATTCATGAAACAAAAAAAAATTATATGAAAAATAGCTAAAATGTAACCATGGTCTTCGAGAATTACTTTAGCCAACATGTCACACAAAATCAAAAGTTACACATTTGACATAAATTGACTGATGAGTTTTTTTTTGCATATTCATCTAAACCTATGATAGTATCTGCTCTAGTTAATGTCAACATCCTTGATTGGGATGAGACTCGAACCTGTGATCTCTTTGGGAGATCAACAATGATGTCATCAGACCACAAGGTACTTGACACTCATGAGGTTGATATGTTGAAAATGAGAATTATCAAACGGGCTCTAAGAAGTCATATGAATATTTAAAGCTACTCATCAATCCCTATTGTACGGCTTGCAAATGAGTAATTATAACAATTCTTGGTGCACGCAAAATGAGTGGCCGCATTGACGCTAAGTTGTTCCATATGCCAACACCCTAAAATTTTCGCAACCTTTTAGATTGAATACCATAACTAATAAACAACGGTGACATTATTAGTAATTATAAACAATATCAATTTGAGCTGCCAATGATGATGTACGTGGTCATTTGGGACTTTTTGAGTGGACATGATCCTAGTTGGGGTTCCGGATGGGCAGGGACGGAGCCAGGAACCGATGTCAGTAGTGTCAATTTAATAAAGTACTATTTTTTTTAAGCAGAATACTACTGTATAATATAATAGTCTATACACATATAAAGCAAAAAAACAAACAAATATTATCATTAATAAATTAAAGTATTAATGCACAACTGTCCATTATGGAAAGGATTTACAATTTTTTCCTTATTTTGGAAACGATGTACAATTTTTTCTTGGAAAAAGTAGCAAATCAGCCCTTGAACTAACTTAAAAAGTGCAAATCACCTCTTATATAGGAGGCTCTGTCCGGCCGGCCCCATTTGGGGCGGTTCCAAGTGGAATTTTTTGATGAAATTTTTTCAGCATCTTCTTTATTAAGTCTAGTTTACCCATACCAAATTTCACCTTAAAATTCAATCAGGAAGGCAGGCAAATGAATTTTTGAAGATAACTACGCAGTTAAAGAGCACAGTATATTTCAGAAACTCATTATAATGTCATTTTGAATATCAAGAACAATCATCTTCAATTTTTTGGGAGCATTATTCAAAACAACATTATGAATATCTTCATTATGATTTGGTAGAAAAGTTAAGAGTTCAAAAATATTCACTTGGTTACTTGACTCTTCTGATTCATCACAACCTCGAAATGCTAGCCCTTGACACAAGAGGAACTGAATACAATCAATGGAAGCAGTCAATCTAGTACGATATTCAGTTCAAGCTTGATTTGTCTGTTTAATCAAAACTGATTGAATGTGTTGATTTTGATTCATTAAACACTCAACCTTTTTCATAGCTTCATTATGACTTTATGAGCACTATTAGGAGGTCCTACATGAATATTAAATCTCTCTTTCTTATTCCAATGAGAAAAACCCTCCGTTATAAATGGCTCACCACCACTTTGTTTTCCCACGTCTTGTCTAAAAAGATAACAATATAATGTAAGCAATATGCCGCATCTTTCGATATACTATATTCTAACCAATTCCCATAATCATCAATCTACTTTCGGTTAAACTGACGCAAAACATTCTCTATGTTTTTTGGGGGAAAGTATGGTTGCAGGGTTGACATGGGTCATTATGTAAATATTTCCTTCGTACCTTATCTTGATCATCCGGATGATATTAGAAATTCCTTTTCGTTGTCTGGGATCTAACAGAAGCGCTTCTAAATCAACTTCAACACGAGCTCTCTTAGAATGTTGTAACTGTTGTTCACCAGATTTTCCACATCCTTTTGGAGTGGTGTCAATTTATAATTTATAAAACATTACATACACCTATATAAAGAATTTTTATTTTTCAGTGGTCCATTTTAAAATATTGAAAAAAAAATTATACCTACTTATGGGGGGGGGGGGGATTTCAGTGGTGTCAATTTACTCCACACCTCCCTTGTTGGCTTCGTCCATGCGGATGGGATGAAAAGTGCTCAAGTTTATAACCGGAAAACTGATCCAGACAGGTAGGGCATTTATTGACAGCTTCAAAATGACATGCTTTTCCATATGCAAATGACATGTTTTATACAAAAATGTCATTGTAATTTTAACATGTCATATGTTTCCAAAATTGTGCTTTTACTAGAGGGGGAGGTCGTACAGTAACGACTAACGATCACGGTGCTTGCTATCACGTTGGAGGGCGGTGGCTGGAGGTTGTAGTCTGATTGAACAGTGACGATGGTTCTATTGCTGGACATCAACAAATTATTGTGATGTGCATTATTGTAACACCCCGGCCCCGCAGGACCCGAGGTAGTTACTTCAGACCTCTAGTACTGTCCCCACAAACTACCACGAGCCTTTACCGCGCACTTTGTCCTCACTCATGCGCGCCCTAAGAAACTTCCCAGGGGGTCACCCATCCCAAGACTACTCCTGTGCAAACACGCTTAACTTTTGAGATCTTGGTGATGAGCTCACTTAAAAGGAGATGTACCTCTGTTAGTATGAGTAGTACTATTAATCCGTTTATATTAAATCTCAAGTGTTACAATCACCCCCACTTAGGATCACAACGTCCTCGTTGCGCCCATAAACCAATCTCAAATCTCAATCCAATCCCAGAATCTTTCCCCTGCTAAGTGCCCGCTAGGAATCCAACGGATCAGCGCACTGTCGCAGGGTGGCTCTGATACCATTTGTAACACCCCGGTCCCGCGGGACCCGAGGTAGTTACTCCATATACTCTCCGGACCTCTAGTACTGTCCCCACAAACCACCACGAGCCTTTACCGCACACTTTGTCCTCACTCATGCGCGCCCTGAGAAACTTCCCAGGGGGGTCACCCATCCGAAGACTACTCCCGTGCAAACACGCTTAACTTTTGAGATCTTGGGTGATGAGCTCCCTTAAAAGGAGATGCACCTCTGTTAGTATGAGTAGTACTATTAATCCGTTTATATTAAATCTCAAGTGTTACAATTATCGAGGCACAATAGCCTATTTAGGGAATTCTCTCATTTCTTTCTAGTTTTTCTTGCTGCCGCATAAGTTCTTTCAATTCCGTCTTCATCTACCGTTAGTCATCAAAGTGGTTTTTAATTTTTTCCTTTCAGTTTCCCCCTTTTCATGTTTTTTCTTATGTACGGAGTATTATTTCCTCTATTCACTTTTAGTTGCAACACTTAACGTTGAATAAGTATTTGACCGTCAATATATATTATTTTCAATTAGTCAAAAACCAAAATTAGTTTTTCGAAAATGTGTAAGACAAACAATATGTTGTTGTGCTTTAGCCTTTTTTACATATAAATTTTTCTCTAAGCTATTTAGATTTGATATGAAATAATGGTCACGTGTTATATATGTTGAATTGTCATATTCCTGCCACTAACTATTTTTATAATGGAGTTGACAATGTAACATTTTTAATAATGTAGTGTTATTGGTAGTGGTGTCAACTGTCAAGTTGTCAACACTGATACTTTTTATGCAATATTCATCACATGATAGAAAATTGACATTTTTACTACGGTAGTTTTTTTTTTGATGAAATGTAAATATATATTAGCACCCAAAAGAAACTGTACATAAAAAAAAAAAACCAAGTCAAGATCTCCTAAAACCTCCCCACTTCAACATAGAGTGAAGGTTAGGAAAGGTTTTAATTTGATCTATTCCTAAACAAAATCAAAGGCCTAAGTATACCCTACTAGATGTCAAAAATACAAAAGAGCATCGGTGCTGCTAGCAAGCACGCACACAGATCAAGGGATATCAATCAAAAACCAAAATGTGACCCTAATGTTGCGGGTTGCAACGAGATAATTCCAAAGCGAGTCCACAGCTTCCCAATTAACATGCAAAACATCTGCCCCTCAAAAGCTAATAAAGTCATGTGGGTATATAGAGTAAATTATCTTATACACCACATGCTTTATTTTCGCGATGACCTCCTCTTCCTTCTTCATGCTTCCATCAAATCTACAAGCATTCCTAGCATGCCAAATATAGTATACCGAGGCGCAAAAGGCTAGCCGGACTGCCTTTGCCTTCATCCTGGATCCTTTGTGCGTCTTCGTGATCCATTTAATGGCACTTAGTAATGTTTTCATGTCGTGTCTAAGTCCCATCCAATTCCTTATATGCTGCCACACCCTACACGTAAAGGGGCATAGGAAAAAAAGGTGTGGTATTGTTTCCAAACCACCCTTACAAAGGTCACACCTATTCACAATGTGTAGATAACCG